AAACCGCTCTTCCAACTTGGGCCGGGGACGAACTTGCTTTCTGTGATTTCCGTCGACAACGCGGCTGAGGCACATATTCTGGCTGCCAAGGCCCTCGTCGATCCTACTCGCTGTAAGAAGGGGAAGGTCGACGGGGAAGCGTTTAATATCTCGGATGGCGACCCGGTGCTGTTTTGGTATCATACGGGTTTGTTCTGGAGCACCGCGAGGGGGGGGCCGGTGAGGGATGAGCTGATTGTTATTCCGGAGTGGCTGGCGCGGTTGGTCATTGGGATTGTCCAGTGGGTGGTTTGGATCTTCACGTTGGGGTATATAGAGCCTCCGACGAGCGCGAGTAGCACGGCGCTGAGCTTTGCGTTGGAGCATCGTACGTATAGCTCGGCGAAAGCGAGGGAGCGGTTGGGGTTTGAGCCGAAGGCAAACCATGATGAGGTTATTAGGCGGTGTGTGATGGAGGAGTTGCGGAGGAGAGACACGAAGAACGAGAGTAAAGGGTAGCCGTCCCATCGTGGAGGAGGTTGGCTTAGGGTGGAGCTACGAACTCTTCCGCTTCTTGTTTTTACCATGTTATACTTCGCCACGTTTGTGAACGAGCACCCTTGCATCTTGAAAGTCTATATCATGTTCATAAGCACTCCAAGACAGAATGCGCAGCCAGATCTGACACTACAACTACTACAATAATTCCAGCAACGTTTCAAGCTCAAGCTCTAGCGCAAACGGCCACAAGTTCGATAATGTCTAGACGACAACGCGTACGGTCTGCCCTCCACAATCAGGTCAATGCCATGGGCCGCCTCGAGGATGGTGCATGTGCCCTCTTATCTCCTGGCGATGTAGTTCAAGCTCACAAAGCCCAACTTGGACTTGTCTTTTGATGCAATATATCCTTCACCAAGCTCTACTTCTCGGTTCCCTAGCCACCTCATCGATGCACTCCTGGATGGCTGGCCTCCTCTCCAGCACCGCTGGGATCCTCGGTGATTGGGTTCGCCCCGAATTCTCTCGATTAACCGGGGAATTCGCCGAGACATATTGCTATTTGGCCGGGACGACTACTGCCCAGTGTCGAGATCACCCTTAGCTACGCGCCATTCTTCCTATAATCTCCCTTAACATCCCGTTCGTTTTCCCTCTTATAGGGCCGTTGCATCGGACTTGATGTTAATTAATCTCTTGAATAGGGTTTGATGAAGAAAGTCTTTATCACGCTGCCTTCTGGCGAAGGATAGCCTAGCCCTGCTGAGAGCTTAGGTTGGGCTGGTATGGCATTGATGCGGGGGCCCTGGTGTCTCGGCGGCTTGATAGAACATACGCCTACCCATCCCACCACAACCAAGTCTCACTTATCTGTCGCGGCCAAGCCAAGAAAGGACGGAGTCAAACAGCGCGAGCACCAGCGGCCATGGTGTGATATTCTAGCACAGACATCCTTTTTGTCCGGAGCCATGGCGGCTAATGGAGGCGTGGTACATATCCCCTTGAGTGGGAGGAAACGTGAGACTGGAGGTGACGAGAGACTAAGGGCTGCGAGCAGATCTACAGTAGCAGAGATGGAGTTGGGCTCGGAAGCGAGTGATGTGCGTGATGAGGAGTGCCAAAGAATTAGACGGAACTTGCCAGGCTAGTTATATCTCAAGGTGCCGCAGCTCGAGTATAAGGTTTAGCCAGGCTCTTAGTAGATTGCAAGAGGAATCTGACGGCTGCTAGGCTGATCGAGCTGAAATGACTTGGAATTGGGTCAAGAAGAGCTCTGTGGATCAATGCTTTGCGAGACCAAGTGATATTAAGTCGGAGCTTCCCTCAGACTCCAAGTCACGTGTCCCGAAACGTCAACCGTTCAACTCCCAACGTCAGAGCTGTCTGCGACAGCAGGATAGAAGAGACGACATCACACCAAGCCGCCTCCTTTTTTATTCATCTTGATTTTTTTTTTACGGAAATCTGTACCCTGTATTCAGAGGGTTCGACAATGCCCGCGCTGCGGAGCGCTCTTGATCCCTAAACCACCCTTTCTTATTTTCCCCCCTCCCTAAACACTCCGACCGCCCAAAATGGACTCCGTACCGACGCTCGCGGAGCTCCTCCGCCACCCCGAAGACCTCGACAAGATCCCCGCCCTCAAGCAAGAATTCGCGCGCAAAAAAGCGGCCATAGATGGCCAGCTCCGGAGCGGTCTGCGCGAGCAGCTCGAGACGACCCAAAGCGGCATGACAGGCCTGACCGACGGGCTCAAGACGGTGCAGCAGATCAAGGACGAGATGATGAAGATCGACAAGCTGTGCTCCGAGTCGCAAAACATAATCAAAGACATCGGCACGATAAACTTCGTGTCGCAGGCCCACCGGAATTTCGGCGCCGTCGAGACGATGAGGAAGAACCTCGAGACCTTCAACGAGAGGCTGAACGCCGTCGAGGGAATGCTGAGGGAGGACGACGCGGATAGGGAGAACATGCCGAATTTGCTGCCGGTGCACTACGAGCTTACGCAGTTGAGGAATATACGGGACGACGCGATGGAGCAGATACAAAAGGCGGACGATTCGAGTTTGCAGTCGACGCTGGAGGATTACTTCGAGAGGCTGGACGACATGATCGACTGGTTCGACGAGCATGTGGGCCTGCTGGCGCTGAACCTCGTCAACCTCGTCGTCAACGGAAACAACGGGCTCGTGGTGCGCTTCGCCGTCGTAATGGAGGCCGAGGACAAGAGCGACCAAAAGGTGCTGGCGCTGCAGCAGGCGCTCAAGGACCACAAGGAGATGGCGGCGCGGTTCCAGGGCATCACGGACGGCGCGAAGCAGGTGCGCGGATACAAGGGGAAGTTCCTCGAGGCGATACGGCTGAGCGCCGAGCAGCAGTTCAACGAGGCGAAGCAGCTGTTCCTCGAGGACCCGACGAAGCTGGAGAAGACGATGAAGTGGTACTTCAACGACCTCAACGCCGTCAAAATCGGCATGTCGCCCCTGATGCCCAAGAAGTGGAAGATTCTCAAGATGTACGGGAACGTGTACCACAAGCTCATGCACGACACGCTTGTCGGCGTGATAGACGACCCGGCGACGAGCTCGGCCACGACGCTCGAGATCGTCGGCTGGCCCGAGAAATACTACAAGAAGATGACCAAGCTGGGCTTCAAGCAGGATGAGCTGAAGCCCCACGTCATCGACAACCGCGAGGCCGAGCTCGTGCGCGACTTCCGCCAGCTCATCATTAAGTACCTCGACGAGTGGATCGAGCGCATCTTTAAATCGGAGCAAAAGGACTTCGCCGAGCGCAACGTCGAGGGCTCCAACCTCGACCAGGACGAGTACGGCTACTTCCGCACGCGCAACCTTGTCGACCTGTGGCGCATGATGCGCGAGCAGATCGACGTGGCCGCCAACTCGCAGCGCGCCGACGTCGTCGAGGGCGTCATTGACGCCATGCTGCAGCGTCTGCGCTCGCGCCAGCAGGCGTGGCAGAAGATGCTCGAGGACGAGGCAGCGCGCTACGAGAACGCGGGCCCCGAGAATAACCTCGATGGGTTCCAGTCCCTGCAAGACTGGCTCGTGGCCACGGCTAACGACCAGATCGCATGTATAGACGACAACGAGGACGAGAACCGCTTCGGCTATCTCTCCAGCTTCGTGCAGAAGCTCGAACCCCTCGTCACGCCGCAGTACCTCGAGCGCGCCGACTCGGAGATCAACGCCCTGCGCGACGGATACGTCGATTTCTCCACCTGGTGCATGACAAAGTTCGCGCAGCTCATCTTCGCCGTCGACTTTGCGCCCGTGCTGCCCGATTACTTCACGCCCAAGTGGTACTCTGCCACGGCGATGAAGCAAATGGTCGTCACGTTCGACGAGTACGTCTCTGACTACCGCCAGGTCCTGCACCACTCCCTCGTCGACATCTTTATCGAAATCTTCGCCGACGAGCTCCTCATCTCATACCTCTCCTCCGTCCGAAACAAAGGCGCCAAATTCCGCCGCGCCGATCCCTTCCAGGATAAGATCTTCAACGACGTCCAGACGGCCTTCGAGTACTTCGACGGCCTGCCCAATCCGGACGTCGCCGACTCTATTAAGCAGACGTGGCGCGTCACCGAACCGTTCTTGCAGCTCCTTACGGCGCCCAAGGATGAAGTTCCTAATGCCTTTGAAGGGTTCAAGATGGCGTATTGGGACTTGCAGATTGGTTGGGTAGAGGCCGTCTTGAGGTCGCGGGATGACTTTGAGAGGAGCATGTTGAATAGCGTTAAGGCGAGGGCGGCGAGGATTGATGTCGTTAGGGGGCCTGAGACGATAATGGGACGGGTGAAGTAGGAGTAGTGGGCATGGCATATATCTAGATTATGATGGGAGGGATGATGGATGGGGTTTTTTGTCGGATTTTACTTGTTCTCGATTTTTTCTTCTCTCTGTTTCTAGCTTACGGCGTATGGGAATACATCAAATGATAATGGATCAGTACTCTTTTCTTGTTTTCCCCGGGAGAGAGACGAAATTCGGTCTCATATATCGAAGACGCGGAACTCGTTTGGATGTGGACTTGGGGCTATTTGTAGAGAACCGGAAAAGATATCAAATGGACGACGAATTCCACTCTCTCCTCCCTAATTACAACCACATCCCGCCCCAAGTAAAATACAAGACATAATACAACTTGGTTCACAATGCATTACCGCCGCCTCCTACTACAATCTTCTCATCTCCCCTCGTCTCCAAATTCAACGAGACATGTGTCGAAACAAAAATACCTGCTTTCTTGTATGCATTTACGACGTTCAACTCCATCCCATACAAGAAAAGAAAACCAAATAATGATCGTAGTGTTTGTGCGTGGAAAGTAAATAACTACTTCCTCACCTCCACCCTAAAATCCATTCCCCCCCTTGACGCGATTATGATGAGCTGGCAAGAAAATTGGCAGCCTATGCATAAAAAGGAAAGTTAGACAACAACCCTTTTGAAAAAGGAAAGAAAGGCAAAGAAAGTGAAGCGCCTCACGGCTGGTTACAAGGACAAAGGGAAACCCACCCTCTCAATATCATAATCATACTTCTCCAACGCCGCCAAAGCATCCGTCCTCGAATACCCCATACTCGTCAAATTCTTCAACAACGGATCGTCGCCCGTCTCGGCGCGCGAGAGCTCCGGCCGTGTAGCAGTCTCCTTGGGCACCTCGACAGTCTTGGGCGAGTTGCTGGCCGCCGAATCGAGGTTCGAGAACATCGCGTCCCAGTCCTGGGCATCGGTGGCCGAGATGGTTGTCGAGGTCGCGGCAACTCCGGTAGTGGCCGTAGCCGCTGTCGGGGTCACGTTATTGTTGCCAGCAAGTGACCCCGTCGACAAGGTGCCAACAAAATCGAAGCTACTCTCTCCGCCGCCGAAAGCCGTCGAGGACTCGGTCTTGGCCTGGCTGGTCGGTGGGCTGCTGTCGAAGACGGAGTTGAACTCGTCGAGGCCGGACCTAGAGATGTTGGCGAAGTCGTCGTCGGCCGAGCCCTCCTTGGCGTCTTCTAGGCCCTCAAAATCGTCGTCTAGATCGGAGTCGAACGGCGTCTTGGACGGAGCAGGAGGAGCAGAGGCGGAGGAGGTCTGGGGCGCGGGCGCAGTCGTCACCGCGGTTGGGGTGGTGGCTAGTGGAGAGTCGAAGAAGTTATTTGCGGCATTCGCGTTGCTATTACGAAAAGATTGTTAGAGAATGGACTTTATTACGAAATAAACACAACAAGCTCACGAGCTATCGCTATGATATAGAGTATGGTATGGTGGAAAAGGGGTTAAAACAAAACAAGAAAAACAGCAACGGCGAAAGCGAAAGAAAGGAAGAAAGAATCCAAGGGGCCAGGAAGGGAAAACAATCTACCTATTATTATGCCCAGACGACTTGTCAGCAGCACTATCCCCAATCATAGCCATAAAAGCGTCGGAAGTCTCTTGCTTAGCCGCCGAAGAAGCAGCAGGCAAAGCAGTCGCGTTATCCTTGACCGTCACCTGGCTATCCTTCCCCTTGGGAGACGACGGCGCGAAATCGTCGTCGAAACCCGCCTCGCTATCCGACTCCGATTCGTCTCGCTCCAGCTCCGAGATGGGAGGGAACTCGGTGTTGAAGCTCGAGAACGCGTTGGTGCTGTCATCCTTGGCCTTGTTGTCCTGGCTCTTGTGGATCTTAGTGAAGCTAGCAAACGCGTTGTCGAACTCCGCCTTGGCCGTGGCCTGGTCCATCGAAGCGAACGGGTCCGAGTCCCTAACCGATCTTTCTCCCGTAAGCTTCTTCTCCTCGGTTCCAGCTCCGGCAATAGGTGTCTCCGCAGCTGCTCCGCTGGTGTTGCCCGAATCGCCCGTAGCGCTAGATTTCACCTCGGCCGCCGACGCGGTGTTGCTTTGTCCAGTATTGGAGGGCTCAAGAGGTGAGAACGCGCCCGAGAGTGGGGAGCCTAGAGCACCCTTATCGTCTCCGGTCCGCGACAATGGGGGCGACACCTGTCGAGAGGACGACAGAGATTCGCCGAGATCCTTCAACGGAAGGAAGCTTGAGCTGAGTTGACGCGACTCCGGCGGAGCAGGAGGCTCGACGTTCAAGGTAGCCTGGCGGCTGATAGTAGGACTGGTGGTGGCAGGGGTTCCGAATGAACCACCGCTCCCCGTCGAGTTGCCGGTGTGATGGCGGATAGCCGAGGCGGCAGGCGGGGGAGGAGGGGTGGCCGACGCCTGGGGGAATGGCGAACCGAAGATGTCGTCAAATGACTTGTCGGACGCCTTTATGGGCGGAGAGGCAAAAGCGCCAATCATGTCTGTGCTGGCAGTTCTCTTAAAGAATGGGTTGTTCCCACTACCAGCAGACGGAGTGGGGCTGGAGATCCCAGCGGGGCCGGACTGCAAAGAGCTGCCCGTCATCTGTCTCGAGAGCTCCTCGCCTCCCTTAACCAGCTCGTCAGCCTCGGACTTTAGACGATCACGCTCGCCCTCGTTGGTAGAGAGCTGCTTCTTATTGATGGCCACGAGGCCCTTCTGCTGACGGGCTTCGGACTTCAGCTTCTCGATCTGGGGCTTGAGCTGGGCAATCTCGGCGTTGAGAGCCCGGATCTTCTCCTTCAGGCTAGCGTTCTCCTGTTGATCAGCCTGCAATGCCGTGACGACCTGCTGCTTCTGGCCCTGCAAGTCCTGGCACGTTCCCTCCAGGGCCATGCACTCGGCCTGGAGCTTCCTGGTGTCTGACTTGGTCGCGGCAAGCTGTTCCTCTAAAGCCCGGACATCCTTGGCCTCTTTCTCGTACATGGTGCGAAGCTGAGTGAGCCGCTGCTCAAAGTTCTTCTTCTGTTGGCTAGCCTGCGTCAAGTCGTGCTGGGTAGAGGTCCTCTGGGTCTGGAGGTTCGTCATTTGCTTCGTAAGGGTTCCAATCTGGTTGGAGATATTGGCCAGCTCCGTCGTCTCATTGGTGAGCTTGGCGCTGATCTCAGGATCAGCATCGCCGAGAAGATCCTCCGAGCCGCCACCACGCTTCGAATCACCTGTGTGTTGCTGATGCTGAAGCGTGAGGCCCTTTCCGAAAGACGACGAGGGTACGAACGGCCGGAACTGACTGGCAGTTGGCGAAGCACGAACGGGGGATGTAGGCACCGGTCCGCTGCTGAATGGATCACTAGCCGCGGAGCCTCCGGTAGTCAGGGGCGCCTGCATTGTGGCTGCCGGGCCATCGAGTTCGAAGAGATCATCAAGCGCAGATTTCTGCGCTGGCGGCGGCGGCTGTGGTTGGGCCTGTGGAATAGGAGCATCGAATGGAGAGGTAGCAGTCGGCGGCCGGACTTGGTTGCGCATACTGGGCGGGATCAGGTTAGGGGGAAGGGTGGTAGGAAGGACGGCAGTTCCATCGCGATTCGCTCGCTGCTGGCGAATGAGATACATAGCAATAGCGAACTCGTCCTTGTTCAGGACACCCTCCGAATTAATGTCGGCAAGATCCCAAATCTGAGCGAGCGTCGCAGCGCTCAGGTTAGACTGGCTGAAGAAGGGCACGGCCTCCTCGCCGGTAATGAATCCTCGCCTCGTCTTGTCAAGGTCATCGTAGATCGTGTCGAACTTGGCCTTCTCGGCCGGCGTAATGGCCCAGGCGGCTCCCGCGCCACCAGCCAGGCCCGACGGCTGCGGCGCGATTGTGGCATGTCGGCCGAGAGGGCTTCCCGTGCGCAGCTGGGCAGAGCCGCTGAGCTGACGGGGAATGGCAGAGAGAGTGCCGGTCGCGGTGGGTGACTGGCGCGGGGCAGGGCCACGACGGTTGGCGGCTTCGACTAGCGCGGGAGGCAAGGTGCTAGGTATGGCCTTGAGGGCGCCAACCTTCATGGCGTTGAGGAGGTGCATGGCTATCACGAATTCGGAGGCAATAAGGGCGCCGCGCTGCTCTGTATCGACCAACTGCCAGACGAGGCCCAGGGTTTCGTTGGGAAGGCCCGACCTTTCGAAGATTTGCTTGGCTTGGTCGCCGGGCATCAGATTCCCGACGAGGAGGGGCTGTCTCTCGAAAAGGCTTGCATACTGGGCGGCCTTGTCCGGGGTTAGAGGGGGGATCCTGACAGGGCCACCCCCGGTACCCTGAGGTTGGACGGCAGCCGGAGGGGGAGGTGACGTCGGGGTCGCGGTCGGTAGGGCGACGCCATCAAACTGGGGGAGAGGGCCGCTTTGGCGAGCTAGCTCGGGAGTGGGATCGCGACCAGCTTGGGCATGGCCGAGTAGTCGAAGAGCGACGGAGAAGCCGGCGGGAGTTAGGAAACCCCTATTCTCGGTATCTGAAATTTGCCATATCTAGAAAATATGGCAGCCGCGTCTTGTCAGCTAAAGCAGGGCCAAAACATTCCTGAGGGGACAATGACCATCATAGGATGGCTAACGACAGCCATAAATCGAAGACGGAATCTCGTAAATAAAAGCAACCCATACCTTTCCGAGAACTGTCCTATCCAACCTCGTCTTCTCAAAGAAGGTAACAGCAGTCTCCCCAGTCACAACACCAACATTATCGAAGTCCGCCTGGCGAAAGAGCTGCCCATACAGACGCTTCTCCTCCGGCGTCAAGCTAAGATTCTGCGTGGGATCGGTGGTGGAAGACTCCCCCGACATCCTGTAATTGAGGGCTTATGTGGTTGTCGTCGTCTAACGATGGCGGATAAAGGGAATGGGACGGACTAAGTAAATCGACTAACGGGGGGCTATCGTGTTCGGTTCGGGCGGATTGGGTTGATTCGTGGTTTCGTCACCAAGGCTAGCAGGTCATCACATAAAAATAATAAAAAAGGGGGGGAAATGGAAAGAACGAGTCGCAATATTGGCAACTGAGATAATGACAGCTGCAGGAAGGCTTAGAGAGCTTCGTATACGAAGTATTAATCGGATGGGGCCTCGGGCAGAGAGATGATCGAGTGCGCCTGGATTATTGCGAGAGGTTGGTTTCCTAGCAGAGTTGGAGGAAGCGCTGGGACTGGATTGGGACATGGATCGAGATTAATGCTCAGTAATAATTCCATGGGCTGCAGCTGGTACAATTGTACAAGTCTCACTCACAGTCAACTACAGAGTACTTCGTACAGGGTAGCATTGACGTAGTGTAGTGTACAAAATCCGCTAGCAAACAGGCATGAACCCCTAAGTTTGGAAGTACCCCGGCTTTCTTTACCTTTGTACACTACTCATAACAATTCCAGTCCTCGTCACTTCGTCACCAGTCCGACCGTGCATGGTCCAAGCTTCTGGTCCCTCTCCGGCCCGTTTCAGTTGAAATAGCAGAATTACAGCTGGCATCGGAAATATCGATCGAAGCTTGAGCGAAAGCTCCTGGAGAGGGTGATCAAAGAAGCATGCATAGAAGCTTGCTTCTTTTTCTTTTTCTTCCTTTTTTCTTCGTTCGCCCACAGTACAGGGGGAGCACAGTAGACGTCATACAACCTTAAAATGGGTTCTACATTGTCCGGCTTCGGCATCGGTATCGTGGCAAATCATGGGGTTGACGTTGTGGCTTCTCGGGGTCCGAGACCAGTCCAATGTCCCTAGACCCTTCCAGTGTCCCAACACACCGGAGACCGTGTCAAGTAATCTAGGTTGGATACATCAAGCCATCACATCATCCTCTCATTTACAGAGTTTACAAGAACAGCTTGATCCCTATCCTTCGGCGGGTGCATTAAAGGGTCGCTTTTTAAAAAGGGCTAGTAGCTATGTGCATATCGTAAGGCGCAAGCGCAGAAGGGTCTGCCAAAGGCGGCTCAAGTTTCGGGTGTCATCAAAAAAAAAAATAGTAATAAAAGTAATTAGAGCGAGAGAGAAAAAGTGGAAAAAACCGAAAATGAAACATACAACCCATCTACCTTTTCCGTCCTTAGGCTCAGCAGGCATAACAAGAGATATAGCGGCCGAAGAAAGTCAAAAGAAAGTCAAAAAAAGGGGACATGGGTATGATTTTTAGAAACTTCAACTCCTGCCTATCCGACTTCTTTTCTTTTTGTAAAGGAATTTCTCGACGCGCGGGGTGGGTGGATATTGGGTATGGGTAAAGGGGGAGGCGGATGTGAGAGGCATCGTTACATTTTGACCATTATAAAGTGATTAAACAAACGAGGAAGAAACTTTGTGGTGGAGAGTCCAGTCCTCCTAGTACTCGGCCGCCTCTTCGTTATCGATAGAGTCGGCAGCAACCTCCTCGTAATCACGCTCAAGCGCAGCCAAGTCCTCACGAGCCTCGGAGAACTCACCCTCCTCCATACCCTCACCAACGTACCAGTGGACGAAAGCACGCTTCGAGTACATAAGATCGAACTTGTTGGAAAGCGCCGACCAGGCCTCGGCGATGGCGGTGGTGTTGGACAACATGCAGCTATAGGTGAGTTACGTTAGTCTCTTGAAAAGCATACAGCAAGGGCGTACCCCTATGCAGAGTTGACACAACGTCGAGTTGGAGGTTTAAAACTTACACAGCGCGGTTGACCTTGGCGAGGTCGCCGTTGGGGACCATCTCGGGGGGCTGGTAGCAGATACCGAGCTTGAAGCCGGTAGGGCACCAGTCGACGAACTGGATGGTACGCTTGGTCTTGAGGGTGGCGACGGCGGCGTGGGCGTCCTTGGGGACGACATCACCACGGTACAGAAGGCAGGTAGCCATGTACTTGCCGCTGCGGGGGTCACACTTGACCATCTGGTTGTTGGGCTCGAAGCAGGACATGGTGATCTCCTGGACCGAGTTGGCCTCGTGGGCAGCCTTAGCGGCGGAGATGACGGGAGCGTAAGCAACGAGAGGGAAGTGGATACGGGGGTAGGGGACGAGGTTAGTCTGGAACTCGTTCAAGTCGACGTTGAGGGAGCCATCGAATCGGAGAGAGGCGGTGATGGAGGAGACAACTAAAAACCGTACTGGTCAGTATCCAAAGCCATCCGTCTAGGCAAGATGGAGAGCCCGCGAGGAGGTATGTCCACGCAAAAATAGCAGCAGCACGTACCCTGAGCAATAAGCCTGTTGAGGTTCTCGTAATCGGGTCGCTCAAGTCCGAGGTTGCGGCGGCAGATGTCGTAGATGGCCTCGTTGTCGACCATGAAGGAGCAGTCAGAGTGCTCGAGGGTGGTGTGGGTGGTGAGGATAGAGTTGTAAGGCTCAACGACGGAGGTGGCAGTCTGAGGAGCGGGGTAGACGCAGAACTCGAGCTTGCTCTTCTTGCCGTAGTCGAGAGAGAGGCGCTCCATAAGAAGGGCACCGAAACCGGAACCGGTACCACCACCGAAGGAGTGGAAAACGAGGAAGCCTTGAAGACCAACACAGTTGTCGGCAACACGTCGCACCTTGTCCAAAACGGGGTCGATGAGCTCCTTGCCCACCGTGTAGTGTCCACGAGCGTAGTTGTTCGAAGCATCCTCCTTTCCGGTAATCATCTGTTCGGGGTGGAAAAGACTCCTGTAGGGACCGGTGCGGACCTCATCGACGACATTGGGCTCGAGATCGCAGTAGATAGTCCTAGGAACGTACTTTCCTTGACCTATACAAGAGCAAGAGAGGACGGTTAGAGTAGTCTTCCTTCGAGCAGACTTGTCCAGGTTGACGAGAACACATACCAGTCTCGGAGAAGAAGGTGCTGAAGCCATGGTCGGGCTCAGCGGCCTTGCGCTCTTCCGTCAGGTAGCCATCAGGCTGAGTAGAAACTGAAGTTAGAGACATGAAAACCTAGGCGACTCGGATAAGAGTGGCATACCTGAATACCGTGCTCAAGGCAGTAGAGCTAGAAATATCCAACCCGGTTAGCTAGTTCGCCTCCGACGACACTCGTGAAAGCGATAGTCTTCCATCATCACCAGGACGAGGTTTGATATGGAATTGGGACCAGTTGCGAAATGGGGGCGAAAAAAGGGGGGGAAGGGGGGAATCGGGTCGGCCCAGTCCATCAGAACGAGATGCCCAAGAGAGGGGTGCTTCGAAGCAGCGAAGGACGAGATAAACCTACCTCCCAGCACGAGTTGGCGATTTGGCAACCCGCCTGACCGACTAGAGACGCAAAGTTGATTAGCACGATAGCCAGATAGGTGGCGAGAAGCCATCACCACAACACGATGCGGTGAGCAAAACGCGTCCAGGGGAGGGGTTCGAAAAAAAGAAGATGGGGGGCACACACCGTTGATAGAGATAATCTCACGCATTTTGGAATCTCAAGATGACCGAACCAGAGGGGATAACTTGACGACAAACTATGTCGGAGAGGATGCGAGGATGATGGGAGGTTGAAATTGGTTAAAGAAAGGGTCGTGAAGGGTGGAGTGAGGGAAGTAAGGTGTGTTGGTGTCTGTAGCGGAAGGGGAATTTTTCTCTTGTTGACGTTGATAGGGATTAGGGGGTTGCCCGCAAATAGTAGCGGTGGTGCCTCCACCAGAAAAAATAATGGACAGCCTGAGGCGGTTCAGTTCGTTTCCCCCCATGGAAAATTATGGGGTCTTGGGCAGTTAGGGCGTGGGACCAACCCGGAACTTGCCTTCCAGAGCTTGGTAATCAGTACCCGTTGACCCTCTGGATTGGCTCCTTCGGTGGCAGCGGTGGCGCTGGACGGTGAGGTATCTCTACTTCCACGACACAACGGCAGCACCCCTCTTCCACCTCCACCAGTACTGAGTACTTTCAAGGTGTACTTTGACACTGCTCCAAGGTTCTGTCAAAGTGGGACATCAATCAATCAGCTCAACTCCACCACCATCAAATCAATGATCCAGGTCTGTGCTACCTCCATCGATAGCTACGAGGCAATAATGCTGGCTGTCACCAGCAAGTCGCCACTGGCCTCCCCAAAAACGGATCAAAGGTGTATGAAGTATGAGATACTACTATTATTTCATACATAACCTCGATAGATCGATGTAACGACGCGACAACGATGCTCACGCGTCCAGCTAGCTTTACGAAGAAGATATCGAACAGACCAAACAGCACGGAGAGAACGGTGGCAAGTTGATTTGCTAGAGTCCCGTGCTGTCCGTTGATCCATTAATCCTCCCCACACACTACAGTGCTCAGTAGTGTATCCTATGTACACTACTCGCTGTACTGATTCCAGTTCGGCGCAATATCGATAATAGGCCATCATTAAGTTTGATTTCACGGTAGCAACATGGCAATCTCGTACGAAATACCGCAGAGCCGTCGTCTGATTGCCCCTTCAGAAGCTTCCACAGAACTTTGGCCACCACTCCGATATGTACTTTTCGTACGAGCTACAAAAAGTATTCCTTCCTGCTCCTCCTAACAGCTCAGTGTAATTATATGGCCCGTCGTGCAAATTGGGATTGTCTCGAAGCAGTAAGCGCCACGCCGATAATTCCCACCATGGCAGCGAACGACCACTCAAATGCCGATTTCCTCATCAAACTTGGACGTCGCCTCCAATCGAACGGTCCAGGTACGGGCAAATTGAGCACTGCTCGAACCCCTGGAGAGGGGACCTGGGGGCCCTTTCCCACCTGTTGAAGGTCCTGATGTATCGTGTACTTCGTACAAGTGTGAGGTAGCATGTACGAAGTACCACCCGTTCCACCGCACGCTAAGAAACTTCAAGAGCGTGGGTTGGGAAATGGGGAGCCAATGAATCCAGCTTCCCTCGGACGTTTCTCCTCTCCGACTGTTTACATGTGTTTACTTGGTAGATTGCCAGGCAGCCGTAGTTCGTGTCCCCCCGCCAAGGAGTCTCTCGGAGACCTTTCGATATCCATTTGGCTATGAAACAAGTGCCTTGTTTTCGAGGACAAAAGGATCTGTACGACTTGTGCTTCATACGAAGTAAACCACTCGTCAGGGTTGACGGGATTCAGGGTCTATCTGTGTCGAACTTTTGGGCTGCCAAGCTTGTGCAGGGGTTGTCGTGGATTCAACGGATCAGGGGTCCATGCACAGGTGGACACAAGGGACCAGGATCTTGGGCCCAGATTCACTCAGGTTCCCCAGGTCTGCCTGTCTGTCAGCAACGATCCGTTGAGACTCAATCTCGGTGTTCAGCTTTGTATTTGGAACGTGGACATGGACAAAAGCCGCCGTATTTCCAAGCATTATCAACTGCTTCGTACCTCGTAAATTACATGACGGGTTGTCCATTTACCGACGTCTTCCGCAGAGCATCATCTGCACTTGACGATATGCTCTGCTTTTAGTAAAATCTCATCGCCACTGAACACCAGTGATGTACCCAGTCGCCCCATTCAAGACACAAACTCTACTGTAGGGAGGTAGAACAACGGTTCGAAACCCATGCTGCTTCTCGAATTCACCAAGAATCCAAGACAGAATTAAGCCCACCGCCTCAGCTTGATTCTTCATAGGAAAACAAGAACGTTCTGCCATCCCACCCCCCCGAGTCTAAGCCCATCTAGTCTAAGCTCCTCTCTATTGTCTCTTATTCCACGCCACGCAGTCGTCCAACTTGACCCCCTCGCCACCAAAGCAATCCAGAGCGCTCCCAATCGTCAAGTCCACCTTGCCATTGCTGATCCTTTTAACGAGATCCAGGTCTTCAAGATGCCTCGCCCCTCCGGCGTACGTAACCGGGATACTGCACCACTCGGCTAACCTCTTGACGAGCTCCTCGTCGATGCCCTGTTGTAGGCCCTCGTTGTCGGCGGCGTGAATGAGGAACTCGGAGCAATAAGGCTCAAGTTGCCTGATTGAGTCTGGAATTTCACACTTAGCCATGGCTCACAAAGCAGGAAGAGAGTTTTGGACAAGAGCTTACCTTGGGTGACCTCCATATCAGTAATTTTCTGCCATTTATTCATGGCAACATGCCAACTCTGATCCCCCGTCTTCCGGCAACTGAGGTCAATCACGAGCTTGCTCTTGTCGTTCCCGAGACTCCGAAGCACAGAATCTAACCTCTCCTGGTTGAATTTTCCATCCGGGAAGAGGTACGACGTGATGATGACCTGAACACGCCCATCAGCTCACACATTTTTCTTCCCTTAGGGCTACTCTCTTCCAAACTCCTCTCATTCCATGTGCATAGAAGAAAGCAGGGGCAACACACACCTTTTCCGCCCCGGCATCTATCCATTCCCTTGCATTCTGATCCGTAATACCCCCTCCAACCTGAAGACCACCAGGCCACGCCTCCAAAGCCTCTCTCGCCGCTTCGGTATTTCCCGGCCCAAGCATGATGACGTGCGCGCCGGTGAGTCCGTTGTCCCTGTACAGCTTGGCGAAGTGCGCCGGCGGTAATTGAGAGACGAAGTTCGTCTTGAGGGCGGCGGACTCGCTGTCCAGGGTCCCGCCGACGATTTGCTTGACCTGCCCCGCGTGGAGGTCGATGCAGGGCCGTAGCCGAGTCATTATGGGTGATGTGGGGTAAAAAGTAAAAGAACACCCCGAAACAGGCCCAACCGGGGGATTTATTTTCCTCTGTGTGCTCGGCTCGAGAGCAAGCGTTCAGTACGAGGTTGTGTATAATTCCTCCTTAGAAGAGAGCGGAAGAAATTGATTACTTCGTTAGACAACGTTTCACGCCGTGATGCAGGACAATGGAGACAATTGGAGTCATGGAAGGCTGACTAACGCTCCGACCACTTTCATAGATCCAGTGTTAGTTCCTTGATCAGTTTGAAACATTTGATAGAACGTTTTCATTCGCATGAGAGGCGGACTTCACCTTGCGACCCACTGATTTTAGATTTCGAGAGTGGTTACAATATTGCTGCTTTCCATGGTTTGAGAGAGCGGTACAGTGCGAGCACTCGGCCTCATCAGCATACCTGCACGTCATCGATCACAGCTCTTGACAAGCTCGACAAGCTCAACTCTCAGCCAAGCCTCAACTTCAACACGGGAGACTCGACATCACAGTCTCATTGCAACAAACACCGCAATCACCGGGCACACACCACAGCATAATTGGAGCCTCATAAAAGAGCCTAGCCGTCCAAGAACAGCAACCAAAAAGAAACGGCCACCTCATCAACCAGCACCGAGCGTCACATCACCATGCTCATCCCAAAGCTCCCCTCCCTCTCCCTCCTCATCGCTACCCTCTCTATCCTCACCCCGACCCTCGCCAACACCGAAAAAGCCATCTTCATAGCTCCACCTCCCTCCCCCAACACAGCCCAACACCCTTCCCTCTCACCCTGGTACCTCACGTCCCTACCCACCCTCACACCCTCCAACTTCTCCATCCGCACTCATCTCGCATCCCAGTTCCCATCCTCCCTCTCGCCGGGCTCCGAATCATGGTACCTCCTCGATGACCTCAACCCTGACCAACGCTATGAAGTCCGAGTATGCTGGGCCGCGACCGTAAGTTATCTCTCCTTTATATCACCCAATCGCAACGGTTAAGGAAAGGGACTCATCCTTTTAAGCAACCCACATCCTTCACCCTAACAACATACTCCATCCCCCAAGTCCTCGAAGAACCAGACCTCGTCACCTCCCTAGCCCACTACGAAATATCCCACACCCCATCCGCAGAGGAAGACGGGAAAGAAAGAGGCGACTTCGAGACCAAGGAATCCTCAAAGCTGCTCCTACGGGTCGTAACCGCCGCCGATTACTTCACCGACGACGAAAAGCTCATGAAGCACCCGGAACCCGTGCACGTGGATCTCATCCTCGATCCGTTCCTTTACAACGTGCTACCGCGGTCGTTGGCGCCCACGGTGATGTATATCGCTGCTCTTGTGCCGGTGGCGTGGATCGTTGCGAGGTGGGTGTCGGGGAGGATGGTGAGCGTTGCGAAGGCGGGTGCGGAGACGAAGAAGGAGAAGTGAGCGATGGGTTTTGCTTGGTGTTTTGTATTAGTTTTGTAGGATATCAGTTGTGCATTTAGAGAAGAATCTAAAATCCTATGATGTATTCTGTTGCTTGACTGTTAAGAAATGTCATTGATAGTGTTTTACGCTATTCAAACACTCCGGATATCGTACGAAAAACTATACCGACATACGCTTCGCGTCAAGTATTATAAGAAGGGAAAGAGACTAATTCCTCCTGTAGGTGCAATCTCTCTTCAATCACCAAAAAAAGGAAGGGGGATGGGATCCCAGCTGAATAAATATGAACAAGGATATTCGAGAATGATATCGGGAGAGAACATACGGATTATGCATAAAACGAAGGGCATATACGAAAAGAAAAGAAACAAACATCCTTCAAAGACATAATAAATCGTTTCAAAAAAACTGGCTTCAAAAATAGAAATCCTCCAGGCTTGTCAAGTTAATATTGCCCAACAAGATGCGCGCAACAAACGTATATATTCGCCCCCCCCCCCCCCCCCCCCCCAAAAAAAAAAGACGCTTCAAAGCTTCATCAACTCTCAACGTGAACTCTCTTAGTAGTGAGGATTGCTACCATACGATCCCTGCGGGAGCTGGCTCGAGCCTCTATGGTGAGGCGGAGGCTGGTAGGACTGGCCACTGCTGTGACCTCCGTACTGCTGGTGACCACCGCCCTGGTGTCCGTAGGAAGGTTGATTGGGCGGGGCACCGTAGCCCGGTTGGCTCGGCGGTGCTCCGTACGAGGGTTGGCTAGGAGGAGCGCCATAGCTAGGTTGGCTGGGAGGAGCCCCGTAGCTGGGCTGGCTGGGAGGCGCGCCGTAACTATGCTGGCCCGACGGCGGCGCATAGCTGGAATGAGTGTTAGGGGGCTGTCCGTAGCTAGGCTGCTGGCCCGAGGACCCGTGTCCCTGGGATCCATGTCCCTGGCCGCCTGGCGGGTAGTAATCGTGCGATTGCTGGTTCGACGAAGGGGGATGATACGATTGAGACTGCTGCGAGTGGGAGCCGCTCGTGCCGTGCTGGGAATGTTGAGAATGCGAGCTCGGAGGGGGAGCAGAGCCCGGGGCCGGTGCCTGATAGGAGGTAGGGGGGGCCTGGCCAGAGTAGGTGCCGCCGGTCCCCGCGCCAGAGTATCCGTAGTTTTGGCCCTAAAGACGTAACCATTATTGTGAGTATTGTGAAAACAAAATTTCCCTCGTTCCATTCTCAAAATCAACATACCGACTGGTTATGCTTCCCACCAGCACCGCCCAAGAAAGAGGCCACGCCACCAATCAGACCGCCACCACCATGAGCGGGGGAACTGCCATGAGACGAAGAATCACCGTGATAGTTCTGCGGCTGTGCGGGTTTGTTGCCGGACGAGAACAGATTCGAAGCCAGCGCGCCCACGAGCTTTCCGGGGACGGAATTCTTGCCACCGCTGCCGCCGCCGCTGCTACTACCATGACCGCCGCCGGCAACGCTGCCGATAAGCTGGCCAGCGAGTCCGAGGGGGCTACTCGAGTCCTTTTGTTTCTTGTTGCCTCCGGCTAACATCTGGAAGGCCATGCTCTATTCCACCAAAACAAAGAGAAGTTAGCTTTCAAAAAAAACATTGAACAAATTGGGAGGAGGGCGCGTGGAAAACAAAATCTTACACCAAGGCCACGGTCACCATTCCCGCCTCCAATACCCCTTGACCCATCCGAAGGCAACACAGGCTCCATCGTCCCGTCAGCATGCCTCCTGGTCTGGCTCCCATCAGGATGGGTAATAATCTCAGACTGCGGCGTGCCATAAGGATGTTCGACGTGGGGGTTGGGAGTCGCTCCCGTGGGAGCAGCCTCCGTAGGCGTCTCCCATTGCGACACGCCCGTCGAGAGCTGGACGAAATAGTACTTTCTGCTCGCGCCGTCCCACTGGGCGATCCAGCCAGCGGGGAGAGGCGGGGGAGCATAGGTTGGTCCCCCTTCGTTGCTTGGGGATCCTGGCCCCGCCATTGGCGCGTTGTTTGTGTATTTGGAGGGCTTGGGGGGGTGTGTCGAACAGGGGTTCGTGAAGAGGATCGCGGGGTTGATATTTTTTTTTCTTGATCGCCGGGGGTGTAGAGGCGATTCGACCTTCGAGGGGCCCGGAAATCGGGGGGATCCGTAGATGTAAGTTTAGACTGGCGCGAAGGAGGATGGAGCAAAGAAAGACGGGAAGGGGAGAGAAAGAGAGGCTAAACAAGGTGGGATGGGGATTGGGGATGGGGGAGGTGGTTTGGCCCCTCGCTATAAGAATTAGCGATATCTGAGTTGAAGGTGGGGTCACGTAGAGAAAGGGTCGAGAACGGGTCGAACAAGAGACGAGAAAACCAGAGCAAGTGCCTTGGTACTTTGGTCACTTGGTCTCTGGTCTCTCCGGCAGGGTTCTTCCTGGAAACAAAAGAATATGAACAATAGAACCCTCCGTGAAGAAAGAAGCCACCAGTCCAGGGTCCAGCGGGTCAAAAAAGAAGACGAAGCGGAATGTGCGCGCTTGCAACCTTGTGACGGATGGTTTGAAGCTAAACCCACCAGCCCAATCAGATGAAAATGCCCTGCAGGATTGAGCGCTTCCCCGAGAACAGAGAAGGTTCTAAGGTTCGCTTGACACGCAGGCGAGTGGGAAATCGAAAGATGTACAGCGGAGATGTTGGTGTGTCAAGACGAAGAGGGGAAAAGATTGGATTGAATTAATAGTTCGGATTCAAGTCAGAGAGTCAGACCTCCCTTCGTCCAGTGCGATATGGGCGTCCTTATACTTGCTGGCGATGGCGATTCCCTCATTACTTGTACCCCGGACCCATCTTGACTCTGGGGTCTTGGAGGCTAAACTACAACCAAGTTCCCTGCTTGCTGAAAGTGAGCTGAGGAGGGAGCTCGAGGAACATTCGAAGTAGTGTAGTTTCGCGTACCAGCCGCTCAGGGTCCTGCGACACTAGGGGGTACACTAGCTCTACAAGTAGGTGGAGAACAAATGGAATCATGGGCACTGCACATTTGATATTGGCAACATTGAACTATCGAACTACTTCAAAGTTTGTAACCTCGACCGCACTTGACTAGCACTGCCCTCCTCTCCTCAGAGGCTGGATGGATGGCTGGCTAACACTGCGAGATTGAAACAGTATCGGTGCGAATCACACTGTATATTTTTCGCGGTTTTATGCGCAAAATCAGTCAGTTGCTTACAGTGCGGATACGCGCGTCGGAGTCCTCTGAGCCACAGCGACTGCAACGTAAATTCACTTATTAGTGCCGGGAGGACTCCAACGACACCACCAAACCAGACTGAACAAGGCCAGACAGATTTGGAAGTCTTTTCCATCGCGATCGCTAGGTTCGCTCTTGGTCTAGTTTGTTTGATGAGAAGAGATGAGGGACCACATATCATATTGTCCACCGTCCTCTTCACGTGTAATGTTGCCCAGCACTCGACAAGCAGAACACATTCGTGAGAACCAGGATTCACTCCCAGGGTATCAAATCATATCTTGGTCACCTCTCTCTCTCTCTCTCTCTCTCTCTTTCTCTCTCTTATATTTCCCTTTCCCTTCTTATAACACGCCCCATGCTCCAAGAGTCCAAGCTCGATCCTGGCCCCCAGCCGCACCCCTCATCAACCCACCATGACCCAAACTCTGCCTCTGCTGCGTCTTAGCATCGACGTCCCCCGGTCTCGACGCCCCATTAGCACCATGCAGCTGCCACGCCTCCCTCTCAACGTTCGCAACCGCCAGCACCTTGAGCTGACACGCCAAGCTCGCACCGGTCCACGGTCCCAACGACTCGAGAGCCCTAAGCTCCCCCTGGATCGGCTTCGTCTTGCGCCTGTCCAGCTTCTCGTCGATGGCGTTCGTTTCCGGTATGGCGTTCGCCGCGTCGTGCCACACGCCATCCTCCTCGCCAGCTTCGCCTTCTTGACCGAGAACAGCCGTCGGTCCGGTCCCGGCCTGTCGGGAGTTGTAGCGACGGAGTTTGGGGTTTTTCTTGACGGCCTCGGCGGCTCGGCCTGTCACGGGGTCCCAGTCTCGCATACGTACGAGCTCCGAAAGCTCGTCGAATATTCTACCTTTGAGCCCGAGAATCTTGGAGCAGCCTCCCGTGAAAATTATGCGCGGCATGCAGGTAGCTCGCACGTCGAGAGGTAGGTGGAGTAGATGCTTGTAGACGAGCCAGTGGACCGGAAGCTCTTCGTCGTCGAAGCTGCACGGCGCGTTCGGCCTCTCTTCAAAGTACGTGTTCTCACATGCGTCTGCAAGCCGAGAGAAGGGTACAGTTAGATTCGTCGGCGGTCTCGTCGATTGTAGAGGGATCGTAATTGTTTTGGCCTCTTGCGTGGCGGCTGAGGGAGCCTCGGGCTCTTCTTGCTCGAGCTCATCCTGCTCCTGCTCCTCCTGAACGGTGGGTAAGCCTTCGCCTGGTTCTGCCTGCGTAGTTTTATTTTTGTTGGAGGGCTTGCACCACACAGCCCTTGTGCAGATGTCCTCGCACTCCCCGAAGCTCAGAACGTGCCGGTCCTCGGCTTCCTCTTCGTCTGTTTCACGGACTGCCGTTCCCTGTTCTCGTAGCGCATCCCTGATTATCCTATGCAGTGAGGACACTAGGTGCTTGCCCCCTCTTATGCTTCTCGTACACTTAACCTCGCGGTATTCGTACACGGTCGTCACGATGGTTTCTCCCCATCCGAGGTCGACGATCACAGCCGACCGTACACCCGCCGCTATGGTGGACATGGTCGCGTTTGAGAGGAGGGATATCATCGGTGATTGGAATTGGTTGAATAGCAAGTCTAAGATTGTAGAAAGGTGGGGCAGAGGTAAAGAGGACGGTAGCACGAGCGCAATACGTCTTGGTTTCGAGTCGATTAATAGGTGTCTACTCGAAAAGTTAGCAGAGCGGCCCTGCAACGGAGGGAGGGTTGGCAGGGAGTTCATCCGACGAGAGAAACGCACTTTGAGAAGGCCTCACGCAGCAGCCTATGTAACTTATCCTCCACGAGCCCGAGGTCCGTCGTCCTCACATCATTCCTCCACAGCTCGTAATCCTCTCCCCAATGCTGCCCCCTCGGCCGCTTCGTCCAGTCATCCTCGCCGCGCGCCGTCCATATCCTGTAATCTCCCACCCTTCGCTGCTGTTCCGGGGGCAGTTGGAGCTGCACTCTCGGTATGGTATCTCCCGCAAATCCCACTCGTACGAAGCGAGATCCAATCTCTATAACAATAAGGTCTTCTTCAGCGCGAAGAGTCGAAGGGGAACCGAAGGCGGAGGGAGCGGCGCGGGGTGGTGTGTGTGGGCTGGAGGCGCTGATGCTGGGGAGCTGGCCGCCGCGAATGTTTGCGACGGAGCGGTGGGGGGCGGACATTTTCTAGGTTCCCGGGGTTTCGGCCGACTTGAGAGGGCGCTGGGTGTTCGAATTGTTCACGGATTCGTGGGAGAAAGCTTCATGATGTCGCGTCCGTTTTGGCGTTCGTTTGGGTTATTGTCTGGTTGCAGGGGTGCAGAATGCCTGGCTGGTGTGGTTAGCGATTGGAGGTATTAATTAGTACATCCCACACTGTGCACCCGCATTGAAGATCATCACTCCTCAGTTCGAACCCAGTAAAGAGCTTCATCCTCATCTCAGAACTCCAAGTCCCAGAACACGACCAAACAATCCATGGGTTCAAAAAATGGAAAAGCCAGAATAGGAATGCGCGTTTTGTACTAAGAAAAGAACAAAGGAATAATTTCAAGTACTCCCGGAGGAAGGATCGTTACTCCTTGACCCCAGGCATGACTCTGGTCGCGGAGGTTCTGGATTGAACTTCGTGCGTGAGATGAATCTCGACATCAAAATCAAGGCCCCTCTCGGCGGACCAACGCCATCAACCCAAATCCAGCATTTCCCTCTTCTTTCTTTATATATTCTCGAATCACCGTCAAGCCGCCCTCGCCAAGGACATCATCGCCAGCCCCAAGCACCGCTCCCCTATCAATGGGACCCTTGCGATCACCGTCTAGCTCGTAGAGCCGACCATCTACACCCGATTTAACGAAACCTACGTAGTGGAAGTCGACCTCATCTTCCGGGTTGTCCGGCACTGCTGAATCTCCCTGGATGGCTACTACATTATAGACCCTCTCGAGCTCCTCAGACTCCTCCAAGACGAGGGCCTGCTGATGCGGCTGCAACCCTGAGCATGAATCGAGAAGCCTCGATAACAGAGAGCCGGGTTCTAGCCTTTCTGTCAGCTCTCAAGATTATTGGCCCTTGCCGACGGAGGATGGAGAGCTTCATTATTACCGATCAGGCCTCGTGCCTCTCCATTGCTTAGAGCATGGAGTATTGCGTAGAGACCGCATGCGTTATTGATGGTCTGCTTGAACCAAACTACTTCCTCGCCAGGCCTACTTGAACTGCTGTCTTCATGGCTAGCATCTTCAGCTGCCCTTTGCTCCTCGTAGTTTTCCGCCGTGGGAAATATTAAGATCAGGGCCAATGCTGGGTGCGGGAGGAACTCCGGTTCGTCTAGCGTGAACACGTCTTCAAAGACGAGAGACTCGGGTGCTCCCAGAAGGCGGATCAATTGGTTGAAGACGTCGGGGTTCGACTCCAAGGGGATAAAGTGCTTGCGGTACTTTTTAATGACCGGGGTATTCAAATTCGTAGACATCCTTTGGTCTTTCATCCCAGTCATCTTTCGTCGTAAGGCTGCAAATCGAGGGAGGTATTGGCGATCTCCTCCATCGAGGTTAGTTCGATCTTATTGGCAATTTGACCTTCCACCGTCTGGCTTTTTATTGGGTAAGTATTGATTTGATGCTTCACGTTTCACAGCATGTGACGCTACCTCAGGGACATGATTCCAGTTGTCGAGTAAAGATCAATTGGCTATGCCGCTACGACTCTACTCTATCATGCCATTAAATATATTCACTGAGCTCGAGCTTGATGCTGTGCTACTCGTTCATGTTTGTGAGTGCGGTGTTGATCAGATCCTTCCTCTCTTCTCTTACAAATGAGCGATCTAGGCTATTCCCATCCAAGTCCCAACTCTCAGGATCGATTCTCGCAGCGACTCCTGCGGAACTCGTTTTGCCATGACACCAGATCCGCATACCAGTACAGCATTGTCTTCCACTCCGTCGTATCTTCAATTAACTCATCGCGCCACTTGACGTATTCTGGCAGATTTGGGCGCTCGAACCACTTCTCTGCTATAAAGGACACGTACATCCAGGCCCAGGGTAGGTACAGCTCTTTATCAGTAGCCTAGTATGGTAGCTTTAGGAGAGGCTTGCCATCCTCGCACACCTGCATTATTTCGCGGTCGAGCACCCAGAGCCACACACGACAACCGCCACCTATATTAAATGCATCTAATTCATCCTCAGGTGCTGTAAGTGGAGGTTCTTTAGGCAGTGTCAAGAGGGTATCAAGGGACTTGTCGTCAAGGATCAGGCGCTTAGTATTCTGTAAAAGCTGAAACTTTGCATATATATGTGGTCCTGTCACATTAGGTTTCCCATATGCAGCTACTGAGGCGATAAATGCGCGGCCAACAGGAGAGAAATCCTCGGTGCCATTAGGTACGTCAAGACCTGCCACAACAATGCCGAGGGCCTTTTTAGTCTGGAGAAAGTCCCAGCGGACTATGGCTTCAAAGCGGCGGAGACCCTCAGCAAAGCGGGCATCGGCTTCGGGGTCTTGACCAGCAACAGCCTTAGTTGCACGGTAGATAGTAAATCCCCAACAGAAGGGTATACGCGTAGCGTCTAGAGTGGTAGCTTGGGTCAGAAACCGTAAGCATCCGTAGCCAGGAGAGTGTGCGTCATTGGCAAAGTAGTTGACCCGCTCGAAATTAGGTGGCGCCCGGTTAGCAGACATCGTGAAAGAGATGTTCGATCAATGTTATATGTATGTTGAATTGGCAATAGTAAAGGGATACAGGAGGATACAGGAGGATACAGGATAAACCCCGAGGCATAAAATACTCTCTGCTCACACTGATTTTGGCCTCGGCCTCGAAGGAAAAAAGTCTAGAAGGTCACCTTTAAAGAGCCTTCTGACCGTCGGAGCCTAGACAAGAGTTGATGTCAAGAGGAATGTCGAATTTTTGGAGCAGTTTGAAAAGCGATAATGAACGCAAGGCAAGTCAAAGAGAGGTAGACATCAATCCATCCATTTCTTGGCAATTGTTCTTTCCCTTCGTGTCTTTCGTGAAGTTCGAGGTCCAAGTCTCTCGCGGTTTGATGAATGCATTTAACGTAGCGCAGAGCCAGTCTGAGCTTATGCATTTATCAGTGCATTGCCTGGGTAACCACAACAACCAAGAACATCAACGGAAACATCAATTGATGATCACGATTTACACCAGCATCCACACTTGGTATTGTGCATTCCTGAACCCATTAGACCGCGACCAATATCCGACATGCCGTTCTGTTCCTAGACATCGTTATACAGTCGGCCGGGCCCTCGGATGCATTGAGCCTATGCATGTTTAATACGAAGCAAACAAGAGAAAATATCGAAATATTTATGGCGGCAGCTTGGCACTCCGGAGATTAAGCTTTCTCCTGGTTTTGATTTTGGACTCACGAGTGCACGAGATTTCCAAGTCCAATTCCCCCCAGCTTGACGCCCCATTCCGATCCTTAATGTTTTGGATACTGTCTAGCAGTAATGGGTATCAAAGGGTTAGTTATTTCTCAGGACGATGAGACTCGATAACCTAGCGTGAAACCCGCCACTGACATCGCTTCTCAGGATATACGCCGAGCTCGGCCCCGGCGAGCGTGTCTCCCTAGCCAAACTCGCCGCCGAAACGCTCGAGGAGACAGGAAGGCCACTGCGCATAGCAATTGACGTATCCATCTGGCAATTCCAAATCCAAGCCGCCAGGGGTAAGCTCCCAACACGTCATGAGCTAGGTTTCTATGAAGTTCTGACCTCTCGTTAGGTGGCACCAACCCTGCAATACGAACTCTATTCTACCGCCTAGCGCGTCTGCTAAGCCACTCCATCGAGCCCATTTTCGTCTTCGACGGCCCCAGAAAGCCGGTCTTCAAGCGAAACAAGCGCTCCTTCTCCGCCCCAGGCGACAGGACCTCATCAGCACTGGTGCGCCGTCTCATCAAGCTCTTCGGCTTCCAGACCCATGACGCGCCGGGCGAGGCTGAAGCCGAATGCGCGCTCCTGCAGCGCCACGGCATCGTCGACGCCGTGTTGAGCGAGGACGTCGACACCATCATGTTCGGGTGCACTAGGACGCTGAGGAACTGGACGGCGGAGGGGACGAAGGGGGGCAAGACCCCGACCCACGTGTCCATGTACAGCGTCGACGCCGAGGATTTCCTCAAGTCCGGGCTCGATCGCGAGGGGATGGTGTTGGTGGCCCTCATGAGCGGTGGCGATTACCTCCCCGAGGGCGTACCCGGATGTGGACCCAAGGTCGCTTGCGCGGCGGCTAGGGCCGGGTTCGGAAGGTCGTTGTGTGCGCTGAAAAGGTCGGATGAGGCGGGTTTGCGAGAGTGGAGGGAAAAGCTGATTCGGGAGCTGAGGACGAATGAGAGCGGGTACTTTAGGACGAGGCATAAGGCATTGACGATCCCGGAGGATTTTCCGAATTTGGAGATTCTGCGGTATTACACCCACCCCGTCGTCTCGGACCCCGCGACGCTCGAGAAATTCAAGGACGACGGACGATCGTGGAGCCAACCTGTCGACATGGTTACCTTGCGGAGCTTCACCGAAGAAATCTTCGACTGGACGAATCGGATAGGCGCCGAGAAGCTCGTGCGGGTTCTGGCTCCGAGCCTCCTTGTCCAGAAGCTCATGGATAGGTACCGCAGCCGCGCGACGGATTGTTCCTTGGAGGTCGCCGAGCAGGAGGAGTCGGCGCTGATACAAAAGATCTCTGGGAGGCGCGCGCACTTTAGCACGGACGGCACGCAGGAGCTTCGCGTGCACTTTATACCGGCGGATATCGCGGGGCTGGACCTCGACGCTGAGCCGGAGGATGCAATCGTGGCTTTTGCTAGGAATGGTTTGGCGCTTAATAGTGATGATGAGTTTGGTGAAGAGGAGGCTGCTGTCAATGCGCCGAAGAAGAGGTTCGATCCGACGCAGTTGGATGCTATGTGGATACCGGAGTCTGTGGTTAAGCTCGGCAGTCCCCTTAAAGCGGAGGACTTCGAAGCTGCAGAACGCAAGAAACTCTTGCGGAAGAAGGTGTCTAAGCCCAAGACCGTCGCCAGCTCGCCCAAAGGCACTACAATCGCTTCGCCTAAGCGTGCGCCTGCTGCCAAGACGTTAGACAGCTGGATCAAACCGACCAAAGCATCATCATCACGCACCTCTCCTAAGCCAACAACAACCTCGACACAGGCTCCTCCTACCCTCAAAGAACCAACGCCGGAGCTCTCCAAACCCTCACGCGCCCGAGCAAAGCCCAAATCTACCACCGCAGCCAAGGCAACAGCCAAAGCCACCCGGCGCAAATCCCCTCCCGCCGCGCCTCCCTCCGTCCCGAAAAGTAAGCACACGAAACCACTCGAACCCATTACCATTTCCTCCTCTTCCACTTCCTCCCAGAAGCAAACCAAAACCGCGTGGACCCTCACCAACTCACAAACCTCTGGCCCCAGGACCAAAAAGCACCCCACCCCGGACTTCAACCTCTCCGCATCTCCTCCCGCCGCTCCCACATCCTCCCAAGAACCCATCCTCATCTCATCCAGTCCCATCCCCGGCCGCCCGGAAACCCCTCCCCCAACCCACCGCAACGCAGCAGATAAAGAAGACGAAGCTCGAGCCGAAACAACTCCCTCCCGAAGAACAGGCACTCGTGACGACAAGGCGTCGCCCGAGGGTGCGCCGTTCGGTGGTCTCTACACACCGCCGCGCTTACGGCTCCCTTCTGAGCCTCTTGACACGCCGCCGTGGTTGAAGTCTACGGGGTCGAGGAAGGGTGGAGGGAAGGAGACTAGGCAGGGGACGCTGGATGGGTTTTTGTCGAGTCCGAGTAAAGTGCGGGATGGGTCTTCGGTAGACAAGTCGCCGGAGAAGAAGAAGACGAAGAAAGGGACGCCGATGAAGACGGCGTCGGACGCAAAGATTAAAAAGACGACGGCATCTTCTACGGGCGGACAGCAGAGGATTTTGTTCCCTACGTCCAAGGCGGGGAATCTCCGTCCGGCGAAGGTGGGCACATCCCACGTCGGAGCCTCAAAGGTGGGCGTGCCATCTTTGGCGGCTCGGCATATTTTTGATGACGATGACTATGATGTTGAGAGGGAGAAGAGGCGCCAGAGTACCGTATCGGTGATCGACTTGACGGGAGATGATTAGGTCTCTGTAAAACGGAGGGCTATTGCGCCCTATGGCCTGTGTATCGATGTACTACTATCCAACAACTTGGATTTCTACAAACTTAAGAGACGGAATCAAACAAAGAAACAACATTGGAAATCACCAATTCATTCTAAATAAACGTCATAAAGACTATATAAGAAAAAAAAAAAAGAAACGGCTATAAAAGAGAGTAAAGTGGGTATCCGCGCATTTGCCATACATCGTGTCCTGGGAGATAAAAAAGGAAACAAAAAGAAAATTCATCATCAAATGTTGACACCAAGTCTCATCCCTCGTCCGTCCACCCGCCATTCTTTCTTTCTGGCTTCCTCGGGTCATCAGTCGTTTGTAAGTAGTAATATCGTGTTTCCCAATGTCCAACATAGTACAAAACCCTCCCCTTTCAAAAATGATGATATAAAATGTTCATGAACTGTCCTCGCTGTTTCAACCGTGCGTAAGGCGAGATTAGATCCTCCGCGAGGCACAACACACCCACAAATCTAAGACCCAACAAAAGAAGGAGGCTAAAAAAAGGTAAGAAACGAAAGAATAATCCCCTCCAATACGTGAGACAAAGGGAGGGGGCTTTGAAACCAAAAAAAAAAAAAAAGAGTATACTCAAAACCTCACCCCTACTCTACCAACCAGGGTAGATCCCTCTCCCTAACAGTCGTACAAGTCAAATACCCCAACCCCTCCGCCACACGCCCCCCAAACTCCAGCTCCAACCCACTCCCCATCAACGGCCTCACGATATCCCTCGCCATAGCCTTGAGCTCCTCGATCCTCTTCTCGAAGCGCCGGAGGTTGTCGCGGCTGTATAGCTCGGGCGAGAGCTTCAGGAAGCGCTTGCACTCGTCGTGCGAGAGGTACGCCGAGGGGTTCGCGCTTCCTAGCGTGCGGAACGTGCGGCCGAGGGAGGCTAGGGGGAGCGGGGGAGTAGAGGAGGAGGAGGAGGAGGCTGAGCCTGCTTGGACGATGGCGCCGGGGTTGGAGTTGGCGGAGCGGCTGCTTCCGTCGCTCGTGTTTCCGTTGCGGTTGTGCCCGCGGTCGCCGTGGCGGTTGTTGATAGTATTATCGGATGGAGGGGATGGAGGGCAACTCGTATTATCGGCGAGCCATTGTCGGAAAAAGGAAACGGCAAGCCAGTCGAGGAAGGAAGCAGCGGGCGTGATGCGCTCCCCGCGCGGCGTGCATAGATTGAGGCGGAAGAGACGGCTCTCGACGCGGGTGACGTTTTCCTCGAGCTCATCGACCTTGTCTTCGATGATTTCGATGACGCTATCGGGCAACGCGGCGCGGAGGGAGCGTTCGCCGGCGGGCCACTGGCCCACGACGTGGATAAGGGCTTCCTGGAAAATGACCTTGCTGCGGGCGAGGTATCCAAGACGGAGATAGGAGATGGGATATTTCGCAATCTGCTTCCAGAGCCGCGATTGGAACTGAAGGAGGTGGTGGTCGACTCGCGGACCGACGACCACGAGTGCGTCATACTGATCGGCCAGTGTCAGGAGGGACTTGCACTGGACGTAGGCGTCGGCGATGTTGACGCCGTCGAGGAGAGGGGGGTAGTTGTAAAATATGCGGAAGAGGTTGTCGTAGTCGCGGAGGAGATCCTGGTCGGCCTGCGAGAGGTGGTGTTGGTCTGCTGGCGTGGGGGTGTTTGGGACGAGGCTCAAGTTTGCTACGGATCGGAAAAACCCTCCGCGGGTTGAGCTCGTAGACGAGGAATGGTTGTGTCCTCCGGATTTCGTCTTCGGCGTTCCGGCGTTTCCATTCACCGGCCCACCGAAAAGCGACCCTGTGCCGTTGGGCATGATCCCATTGGTGTCGAGAGGAGCATCGGCCTCTTTCTGGACCAGCATCGGGACGTCTCCGTCTTCGTAGCCCGGGTCAAGCTCATACCTCCACCTCCTCTTCCTAGGCACCAGCTCACCACCGCCGGCCGCCGCCGAGGCATGAGCCCCGCCATCGCTCTCCTCCGCTATCCTGTTGAGGTCGTCCTGCGTCGAATCCGCCGCCGCCGCCGCCGCCGCCCCCCGACTCCATTCGAGGCTCGTGCTCGCCTCGAAGAACCCCGAGCACCTCGTCAGCGTGTGCCTGTGCAGCAGATACCGGTTCTCGTGGCCCCCGGCCTTAATCACGATCTCGACATCACCGCTGTTGGAGAAGACGGGGAACTCGTTCTGGGGTATGTATGAAGTGCCGCCTGCGTGGGATCGATTGTACCGTTTCGCCCGAGATCGAGAGGAGTGCGAGAAGGAATGGGGGTGGCGGGACACGACCGAGGACGGGCCCCGAAGGGTGAGCGAGGTCGAGTATTCGGGTTTCGACACCATGAATGCTGCTGGCTGTGGCGTCTAGGATGAGGAGGGTGGGGGAATTAAATCCGGGTGGTGGCCGCAGAAAGCTTTCCAAACAGCGGAAAACTGACGGCCGAAGCTGGACTGGAAGCACAGCCGGGGTATATTGGTCGAGAAGAGAGGGTTATTCAAGTTATTCGAGTTATTCGAGCTGTCGTTCCGTAAAGTCGTGCAGACCCGAGGCTATGCGACGTGTGTAACCATAAACATGGGGTGAGCAGCGTGTTTTCGCCCGTGATACAAATGGCGGACAGCGGGCTGGGCAATTAGTTGTTTTTCGCCGTTGCTCTCGCACCCGTTTACTACACGCAGCTGTACGAAGGTAGCTCGGTTCGTCCTGGAGCGGTGGTGATGGAGCTTCACTGCTTGCACACTGCGCTGAGGGGTTGAGGCTGGGAAGAGGGGCGCCACGGAACCAAAGATTCAATCGAGCAAGGCGAGATCGGTAGAGGTCAAGGTACACCACCACAGCCGCGCCTCGACTTGGCCAGGGTTGAATGAGTCAATGAGGGAACCTTGGCAGAGTCTCCGAAATATCCCATTAAAAATGGACAAAAATAAATTCAAGTTCAAAAAGATAACTGGTAGAAAAGGAAATAAACAACTAGATAACCATTCGGGAAGAGGAAGAAAAATCGGACCCGGTGGATGAAACAGTGAAAGTCCTACGACGCGTGCACTAACAAAAAGCGTAGCAAGGGAACGTGGTGGAGGGGGCTCGCCTGGGAACCAGTTTCGAGTCACGATACCCAGCGGTGTGGCGAGAACAGCGAAGGCGTGCGACGGGAACAAGACTGCACGGGCTCAGCAGGAAAGATGTCTGGCCAGGGGGGTGCTGGATGCTGTCCACTTGCGCTGCAGGATTCGGAGGCGAATAACAAAAATAATATGGAATAAAAATAAATAAATATAATATCCAGAATCGAGGAACCAGTTCAGGGCTGGCACCAGCACCAGTCAAAAACAGACTCCTTGGTTCTCTGCCATCCAATCCAAGAACGCGAGATTGTTACATCAATGACAGCCACGGGGTCGAGGAAAAGTTGTGGAAGCGGGAGAGCGTGTCCTGCCCAGCATCCACAGTCCCAAGCCTGTGGGTGCTTGGAAGCGTCACCCATGTGGTTATTCCATCGATTCTTTGGCTCTCACATCATCGAAAAAGCCTGGCGTCCACGGAAAAGTTCTGCGAGAAATGAGGGAACCAACCGGGGATGAGCTGACTTTCGTCGGTGCTAAAAGGGGAGCTGGAGAACAGGAGCCAGTCGAATCGCCGTTCCTCGGCGGAGAGAGCTTCTCGATGCTCATCCAGGGTTAGTATGGTATTGGCACCTTGAAACAAGAGCTTCCTATTGCCCTGACTGGTTTGCCACCAGCCATTGCCGTGGGCCTCGCCTATAGTGGCTCTCTGGGGCCCTGAGAATCGGACTTAGAGCAAATCCCGTCTCGCTCTTTCGGTCTCTAAATATCATCAGGTGCAATACAGGACCCGTCTCTTTTTGGAAGTTGGCCAGGTCGAGTCTGAAAGTGCTCAAGTCAAGATACTATTTAGCTCTTCACCTCAGTGGCCGGAGGTGCTGGCTGGCATATACGATTGTTCCCCCAATGCACAAGCAAGCACTTCGGTGCAAAAAGGAAAAAAAAAAAAAAAAAAAAAAAGGAAAGGAAAAAGGAGAAAGCCCATCCAACATCATGAAAGATGGCGCTTCAACACTGCGAAGTCATCCTGCTTATTGCTTATCATGATAGACCATCGGCTCGCATCTGTTGCACAACTGCAGCCCCCAAGATGATGTGTTGTATTATTCGATGCTCAATGCCCGCCTCGATGACAAAGTGATCCTTCTGAATAATGAAGCAAACTGCTCTTAGCTCTCGCCCAGAGTCTACAAGCGAAATACCCACCCCGCCACCGGCCTTGCAGCACCTCCAAAAGTACCCCCATGTCTCAGACCGAAGCTCCCCTAACACCCAATGCAACCACCCAAACCACCTCTAAGCCCCCTCCAGGCGCTGCACAAACAGACCACAACCAATCAACACCAGCATAAAACACGGCCTCTTGCACAAAACCGCAGCACTAACGCACATGCAGATAAACTCGGTCTCGACCCTCCCCAAGCACAAATCAAAGCTCGCTTTTCCAACAATCGCCAAACCTTCGTTTCTGGCCAATCAGATCCGCTGACACTGCGCCCCCTTTGCTTCACTGAATTCCCCTTGCGTGACAATGTATATGCACACACTATGAAATGCGAAAGGTAGGTTAAGCAACTTATGCCCGCTCTAGTGTAGGCTGCATAGCGCTAAGAAAACCTCCCGAAAACCTTGAGATTTGAGAGGAAAAACTTTTCTAAATTCGAAAGAACTTACATGTACGAAGGTACGAAATACTCTCTTCTCACAGTTTGTCTTGTTCTCAGGACCAATCAACCTCCGTATTTACGCCCCATCTGTATCTCCGATGCCTCCGTGATGAGAGAGTCCCCCAGGGCGAATGGAATTGGGAATTTCTCTTGGAATTTTCGTCTGGGCCTCAGGCGTCATAACCAGCACTTTGAACAAGTAGACATATCACTTAGAAAGACAATGTTGAATGATTTTTTAATACTTTTTTAATTGCTTCTGTTTTCTATTTCTGCTCGGCTTAAAATTTGCCTGCTAATGATACATACGGCCATTGATGATGCCGCTTCGTTGTTGCTTCCGCTCCATCAGAGAAGGGCGCCGGTTGCCCTCCTCTCCCTGGGTAGCAAATGACCTTCCTCGGAGGTCCTCCGTGGTTACCAGTATCCCCTTGACCAAATGCACACTCAAACCAGAAAACACCGTCCCGGATAGAAGAAAAAAGAGATAAAGCTAACACACAGTTGCGCCGCCGTAAAAATCATCAAAAAAGAACATGTCGAGAAAGATAAAGCAAGATGGCAGGGCGGGAATAACCGCCGAAAAACCAAGGCGATAATCAAGGTTCCGAAGCTTTTTGTCGCCGCGCTAGTGTGAACAAGAGACAAGAAATGGCAGATCGTATAGATGCCTTGCTGATTTAGCAAACCTCCATCTCAATTTCGGTGCTGCCGAAAGGCATAGCGTATCCGGTGTTTGCTTGCTGGACGTAGACCGGAACAATAGGCTGGCTAGCGGCCATCATAGTTTCGGGGCCCTCGAAGACGGGAGGGTTGCTCTTGAGGTTTTGGAGAGCACCATCGCCTGTACGGCTAACAAGACGGCCCTGTCGGAGGTTCTCGTCAAAGAGGAAGTAACCCTCAGATGCCTCAATAAGGTACGACTGGAGACCCTTGCTCTCGAGCTGGATGACCACGTTGGAAATGGGGTAGTGGTTCTCGATGAATTTGGCCCAGCCGCGAGCAGCAGCCTGAATGTGCTCATCGTTGCTGATGCGTCTCCAACCGATGCCTAGGTGGAGGGTGAAATCATCCACCACGAGGTGGTGGGTCGTCTCCGAGGTGGGTGTCGTCAAGCCGGCGCTAGGGCTGTTGTATTCCTTGGTAGGGCTGGCCGCCGCAGAGTTGTGCTCGCGGCGCTGAGTCTTGCAGCTTCGTCCGGAGAGTTGTTGTTCTTGCTGCATCTGCAATGCTGTTTTCACTTCAGCATTGTGGAGGGTGGCGGCCGCAGATGATGCGGCAGGCTGGCCAACGGGGGCGGCGGTGGCAGTCTCCATCATGACCATGTCATTTCCAGACATCCAGTCATTGTTAGAGAAAGAGGCAGGCGAAGACTCAGAAACATCGTCGGAGAGGTTAGGCTCCGCCTCCTCTCGGGACCTCTTGCGCCCGGCGCCGGTGGGCTTCGAGGAAGAAGGAGTCATGTTGGCGAATCGACGCGCGGCGAAGGCGTTGGGCTTAGATTGAAAGGAGGACTTGCCCAGAACGAGGGCTTGGTGTGCAGTTTGAGGTGCAATGGCTAGGACTGGGCCATCGGCAAAGGAGCTTCCGAAGTACACCATTGCTACCTGAGGAAGAAGAAGGAAAAGGCTTGGAGCCGGGAGATGTAGGAAAGCTGGAGGGCTAAAAGGTGGGAGAGACGTGCACGAAACACGCGCCCAAAGGGGACAGAGTTCTGGGGGCACACAGGGTTAGTAATTTCAGAACACACAAAACTACGCAACCTGCTCTTCTGTGTAAGCGCAGTTGTTGGCGTAACCGGTTCCGTAAATGGTCTTCCTTCTAGTAGTGATGGTGACCGTCGTCGTTTGTGCTGATCGATGTGGTTGCGGGATGGTGGAAGCGACAAGGGCGAGGACTAGGATTGGCAAAGTCGCTGGTGACACGGGACTGAGGATGGGATGGTCGTTTGATGATGCAGGGAAGGAAGCGTGTTGACGGACGCGAAGGGGACAGGTCTTTGAGATAAGAGAAACTGCCAGTGAGGGTGAGAAAGATCCGGGACGACGAAGGTGGCACACGACGGAGCCGCTCGTGTCCTACTAGACAAAAGGTAGATGTGGTAGGTCTGGGTGTAAGAGGTTGGAGGTAAGGTATAGTGGATGGAGATGTAAGTTGATGATTATGGTAGACGAGGAGTGACCGGGGGGGAAGAAAAGTAGAAAGTGTGGAAGGGGGAAGAAGAAGGTTATTAAGAGAAGAAGGAGAGGGAAGGGGAGCGGAAGAGACACAAAGAAGGTGTCAATTGGGGTGTGTGTGTGAGCGAGAGAGCAATGTGTGGGTGAGCAGCAGCACGAACAGTAACAGAAGAGAGAGGATCAATGGTTGACTTGCAGGAAGCCGAGCAGCCTGCCTTCCATCTAGCGTAAGATCGGGACTTGGACTAGTCGACGACAGCAGCAGTACATCCGAGCCTATCGACTACTAACATTTATTGGAATAATGTATAGTAAATACCTAAATGGTCTTTTCTCGGTTATTATTTATACTAGGCATTTCAGGTATCGTAAAGTAATTTCAGTACTTCCAAGATAATACATATTAATCTCGCTAAGAGTTTTGTACATGACTTGTGGGGCTAGTGTACTCGATACCTTGTTGGCTGGGGCGACAAGTGCTAGTTGCCCGGGGGGTCGTCCCCTTCTCTCAGAGATCGGTACCTCCACTCTACGCCTAGAAATCCGGCCAACCAGGAAACTGAGTCCTTCGAGGCTGGCCGGCCTGGCTTAGGTAATCCCGCTCAGAGCGCCAAAACCCCGATTGAGAGCTTGGACCCACTCATTGCTCTCCCCAACCCCTGCGTCCGTCTCGCGTTGTGAGGGAAAACGGAACCCCCGCCTCAGTCCAATCCAAGTCACCGGCTATTTTCCCAAGAACGTACGAGCAAGAAAGTACCACCGACTGTACCAGCGAAAGTATATTGTACCCAAGCGGTGGCGATTAAGTAAGCTTTCGCTCCTCGGGCTTAATTCGCACTTTTGTAACCTCCACCAAGGTTCACTTCGCACAAGTCACGTGCAAGAATTTATTACGGATGGGATTTAGTCAGGACCACATGAGACATTCGGAGGAAGGTTTACCGGGTACCTCAGTACGAAGGTACTTCGCACCTTGTGGGCGTACCCCGTATACGGAGTACAAGTAAAAGCGGCAGTTGACTTCCGTCCACGGAGTGTACCAACGTGCTCTGATCCGTTCCTCGACGAACAAAACGCGAGGGTGAAGGTACGAAGTACTTCATACATCAGAAAGTGAATGGTGTAATTATACGTAGTGCCCACGCATCCTCCGTACAAAGTACGTACTTTGCACACTCTCAGAATATTAGAGGCAGAAAATGGTTCGACACGGCAAAAAACTTGGTTCAAACGCCAATAGCTTGAGTGATTGACTTTGAACTCCAAAAGGTGAACTCACCATCACGTGGAGGTCTGACCCCGGTATTAGCTGAATTTCTACGATTTTCCAGTCTTGGCAGCAAACTTGGTTTCTTGATCTCCCCCCAGCTCAGTCAGCCGAAATGAAGATGGCCTCGGTTGCTTGGTCAAGAAGTCTTACTTGCTTTTCTACGGACACAATTTTAACCATGTTGGGGAAAAGGCGAAGAATACGTGAAATAAAAGTAGAAGTCTATTCCGTGGCCAGTCTACCAGTTTTCCCCCCTTTCTATGCCATACCATAATCCCGTGGTGCCCATTAGAAAAAAAAGAAAAAAAGAAAAGAGAGAGAAAAGAGCGGTATCATCTAGGAAGACAAGTCAAGAAAAGAAGAAAGAGGGTAAAAAGAGAAGAGAAAAAGAAAATAGTCGAGCAGTGCAAACGGACTTCCGAAATCACCGCCCCCCCTTTTTGCCTTTTCATCTCCTCCTGTCCAACCTGCGCACAACCGCACCCAGCACCGCCTTGAGGATTCCGTCACCCGTCAAAGTCTGCACCTGGCCATTCTGACCATTCCAAGTAACAGTATCAACCATATCCCTCACACCGCCCTCGACCTGCTCACCGAGCTCATCATCAAGCTCCTTGAGTGCTTCTCGCGCACCGGGCTCGTTTCCCACTTGGAAGAATTGCACGCCGACCTGGTAAGGCGGCGCCTCGATCTTATCAAGTTTCTTGGCGGCAGATAGAAGGACGGACTCGACGTCGTCCGAGGGAACACCGTCCGTGATGACGATGACGTTTACGGGCTTGACGGTTTCCATGGCCTCTTGGTTCGTCTCGAGAAGCTTGATGTAGGGTTTGAGGATGCTTTGTAGACGCGTACCCGTGGGCGTGCCACCAAAGGGCTGGATAGACTCGAAGAGAGACTCGACAGCGCTGGGGTTCTTGAAGCCGCGGTAGCCTCCAGATGCCTTTCCGGCATTGGGGTCGGCAGCAATCTTGGACTTGTGGTTTAGGAAGTAAATATCAATTCCATCGCTGTCGTGAGCCGCGCAGATGGGCGTAATGGTGTGGAGAGCCTCTCGCACTTCGCGCCAAGAGCGGCCTCGCATGGAACCAGAATCATCAATGACGAAGATGGTGTCAAAAGTGCTCAGGAATGCGTAGGGATCCTCACGAGTGCTGAGGCTGGCCACCGACGGAGCGGGGGATGAGGCACGAGGGACGGTAGTACCGACCCTCAGGCTCGAGTTGGCGCCGACGACGTCGTTGTAGGCGGGAGGGGCATCCATGATCGCTATTAGCTGCCTGTTAGCCTATGTGTCCGTTGGGTAACTGCCTTTTTCATCTCGCGACGATGACTTACAAACTGGGCGCCGAGTGGCGGGTGATCGGCCGCGGAAAGGGTTATCAGAAGGGCTGGGAGGTACGGCGACGGCTGTGGTTCCAGCGCCCGAGGCGACGGATTGAACCGGTGACTGGGGAGGAGAGGGTCGCTTTCGGAACTTGTCCTTGACGCTGCCAAATAATTTCTTCGACATCTTGATGCTATTATCAGACTCTGATGATGAACATGATGAAGTCCGAGAGACGAGGAAGTTGAAAGATGATGAGGTAGTCATGGTTGCTTGCTCAAGGGGGAAGTTGTTTGTTTCGATATTGTATAACTGGGCCACAAATAACTGATTCAAGGACAATGAATCTGATGACTTATGGATTTCTTTTCTTTGTTGTTACGGAAGGAGCAATCCTGATCGCAAGGGATGTTGTCAACTCTTTGTTTTGCTGAGCTCTGTTGAATCAAGCAATCGCCATAGGTATCTACAAACAGGATCCAGTCCGTGTTCTTATAGCTTTCATTCATCCCAATACATGAAATAAACAAATCTGCAAATTCCCATAAGGTTTCTCGCAATGCCAGTGCCGATATAGAAAGTGTAAAAAACGAAGCAATCTAAAGTCATCATGTCAGTCAATAGTTATCGTCCGCCCCGAGCCGACATCCATCGGCGAAGCGCTGCCGGAATGTTGCGGTCACAGATCCGTCACATGATTCGCACTAAGTCTCATTTTCCCTGTTTCCCTGCCCCTGTGGCTTAGAGGCCTGGACGGCTGCGCCCCGCCGTTAGGCTGCTGGGCAGGCCAACCACACCTATACCAGGGTTTTAAATGTTATTGTGAGAGATCAGATCCACCACCTGACCTATCTCATGACAGGTACTAAATAAGTATTTTCGAACAAAAACTATTAGAGGCTATACCTGCTTAACACTTGACCTAGGATATGCCCGGTGGCAGTGAGGATCTCTCAAGCTAACGTTTAACCCTAGTATAGGTTTAATTCAAATGCAAAATGCTTTGCGCAAGTGTGTCTCGAATGCAATGCCCCCAAGGCGGCTCATAAGGCTCAAAGGCTGGATTCATTGAAGCAATCGTAATACACACACTGCGGCTCCGCTGCCTTCTCGAGTATCGCACGCGATATCAATATCGGTACATCACAGCAAGCCTCAAACACATCTCTCCGCACTCAGCACGTCACGAACTGGATTTTGTTTCCCCCCCTCCTCCATTTTAAGAAGAGGAATACTTCTGTATGACCCTCTCGATTCCGTCGCACCCCTTCCGTAGTTGGTCCATCTTCGAACCGTAAGAAACCCGCACAAAGTGGTGGCACGGGCTATCAAACAGGTCACGTCGATGCGAAGGGTTCAAGTCGAAGAATATGCCCGGGACGACGATGACCTTTTCCTCGAGGCAGGCTTCGAAGAAACTGAGCCCGTCACGAATAGGCTCTGGTAGGCCTTGCAGGTTGAGCCATCTTTTTTAAGATGCACATGATGGTTAGCACACGCCATGATGGTCATTTATTTGGTTTTTCTTCTTCCTCTTTTTCAACGCCCTGTTTTGGCAGAGATAAAGGCTGGGGTGATGGGGTTTCGGGACTTCAACGAACATGTAGAAGGCCGAATCTGGGACGTAGTTGAACTCAAATCCCATCTTTCGCAGTCTGCCTATGACGTAGTCGCGCTTGTCCTAAGGCCAACGTGAGAAACAACTTCTGCAGTTGGGAGATGCGGCTCTCTGGTGTAAGTTGAGATATCCGCCTTACTCGAAAGTGCCTCTGCAGACATGCCATCTCGTTCCTCACAAGTTCGGGGTCGAGAATCGGTATTGCGGCCTCTTGCAGGCAATGCGCAGCACCGCCGTCTGTGAATAGGAATGTCAGCCCCTCTAAGCACGCCAAGATGAAATTGTTCTCTGCTCGGATACGATTGAGCCTAACCCAGATAGCTGCCGCTTGAACCAATCCTGAAATCACCGTCAGCAATGATATCCCAAGAAGAAAAGTCGGCCGCCGCTCGTTCGACTTACGCCTTGATATATTCTAATATATTTCAATCCAGAAATGTCAGCATAAATTGAAAGAGCATCAACGCACATGGCTAAACCTCACCCTTGGGCCCCAAAACCCACGCAATCCTCCACCCGGGCAATCTAAACCTCTTGGTCAACCCATCGACGATAATCACATCGTCTCTGTCGACATCCTCGACGTTCTCCGCTGCCGACACTGTCGAACCGTCGCACCCGCTCGTGTAGTTATATCCCGAGTAGAACTCGTCAGCCACAAACGTTGCGCGCCCACGGCAGAGCCTCTGGATCTCTGCCAGCTCCGGGTTTTTGACCACTCTCCCCGTAGGATTGCGAGGGTTAGACGTCAAGATGATGGAGGCACCGCGGGCGATTTCGTAGGATATCAGGCCCGGGTCTAGCTGGTAGTCGTTGTCGGCAGATAGAGGTACGGGAACAGAGACAAACTAAAGCGGTTAACAAGTCATAATCAGCTCACCCGGAGGAGAAAGCAGGGAAGGGAGCCTTATCCCAATAACTCACATTCCTAAAAAGAGACAACATCTCATTATACGCCGTATAGTCCGGCAAGAAAAATGACATGTACGCAGACCCCAACACCGCAGCAATCCGTATCAAACCAGCCCTCCCACCAGGAACAATAGCCACGTTCTCCCACGTATACTGGCTCTCCTTCCCCTTCCTGTGCATCTCGTTGTAGAGCTTCGCCACCGCCTCCCGCAGCGGTTTTATCCCCGCTATGGGAGCATATTCCCTCGCCGAGACGGTGATGTCAATGGTGTCCGGGCGACGGAAGCACCCCGCGATGTCGTCCTCGACGTCTGGCGCTCCTTGGCCTAGGTTCGCCCATTGGTCGCGGGCTTCGAGGTAGCCGTGTTCGGTGGCGCGGTCCGTCACCCAGACTACGCCGGTGGATGAGCGGATGGGGTTGAGGCCGGCGTGGGGGAGGTGGCCGCGGGCGTTGCGGAAGTCTGTGTGCGCCTGGGATCGGCTTTCTGCGTGAGGGGGAAGAGAAGTGAGTTGTTAGTTCTATCAGGTCCCTTGCTCTCTGTTCATTCCGAGTGCTGGGGTTTCGGGTTGGAAGGCAGCTAGAGTGTACGAGGTCAGTTTACGAACCGTTCTCAGATGGCTCGCCCTTGGTGAAGTGGTAAGCGTCCTCTGGCAAGCCCGTATGACGGTTAATGTAGAAATGGAATTTGGAGGGCATCTTGTGCGTGCTTCGGCACTGGAGGATTGGGTACACCCGCGGGCCTGTCGGGAGACGGTCACTCAAGGCAGGTTTCAAAGGTCGAAACAAATAAGATGTCCTATTCATGCTTCCCGCCAACCTCGGAGAGGATGAAGCCGTTGATGAGTATTTCCAAAGCACCATTCCAAGCGTCCCATGGCAAAACTCCCATGTCGCGTGCTGTGTTTGTGAAGTGTGAAATTCCCAGTTTCCCCCGTCCCAGTCCAAGAAGCTTTTGATCTAAGGATGATATCATCGAAGAACGAGACTCGTCCTCGACCACGAGGCCCGACGTCCTCTAGAAACCCAGGAAACCAATCACGCCAATTCTATCCCCGGAAAAGCAGAAACTTAGTAAAAAAGGTCTAGATCCTCTGAGAGGCCAGGCCCTTTCCAGACCCTCAGCATACAAAAGATACGTTCCAAGCACTGGCTTGGAAATGGGGAACTTCCTTAAGAGCCACACTTGAGTCTGTAGACAACATCATGAACACACTGCACCACCAGTGCCTTTCGGCTTGCCGGCTACATAGCCCACAACCATTTTATGATCTTCTTTTATTTCTTGAACCCTGATAAATATGCTTACCTCCCTTTTCATTCACCCTTTTGAAACAATCTGAAAAAGCAAAAGAAATCGAACCCCTGAACTTTTGTGATGGCTGCATTTGTTTGTCCGAGATGGCTCTCCAGAACATGAATGCAGAAAAAAAAATCAAAGACCCTCTCCCTTAACCACTTACTCCTCCGCTAATGATACACGCAAATGAAAGGGGAATTGAAAAGAGAGGGACAAAAGAAAAAAACGAAACAACAACCTCCATATTCCAGCCCATGCCACTAGAGACACCAGAGTTCACAGCATAGACTGCAATAGACTGTATCGTGATGCTCCAGATGCCTCTAGCAAAGTGGACGCTTCCTTCCATAAACCATAAAAGAAATCAACCATCCGAATGGTACTTGTGTTGTATTATGTCGTATGCCTCAAAGGATGTCAGAGGTTTCTTCCAAAAGTCCAAGAGTCCTGCTGAGAAAACTCTTCCAGCTTCCTATTCCCAACACGTCAGTTCCTGTTTTGTTTCTCTCTCCCCTCCCAAATCCGCAGAAAACAGAACGCGTCAAACTTACCCGCCTGAGACTTCATTCTTGTCAAACCAACCTCAAATTCCAATTGTATCGGGGCAAAGAAACCAAGAACTTAATCCCAGTATCCATCTCATCGTTCGCCATCGAAAAACAGAGAGCGGGAATCCAATCTGAAAAGAAGCTGGTCGTCCCTCGAGGGGCCCTCGTCGTGGGGCTTCCTTGGGGGAGGGCGTCATTTTGAAAGACAAAAAAGCGAAACAAACCGATCGGCTTGACGATTCTGTCATTAGCCCTGCCACTCATGATTCTAATCACCTTGGTTAGTCACCAGATCTCAAAGCTTTGGAAAACAAGATGCTAATGAAGGGAAAAGAAACGAACCACGCGATGTCGAAAATGGTAACGAAAGAAAAAAAAACCGAAAGCACCAAACCTCGAAACACCCCTTCGACTACCTCGCTCAACCGCCCAGGCTTCACACATTCAGCCCGCGGGAGCAACCGACACCACCATCCTCTTACTGCATGCAGAGGACGTCGGCGAGGAACAAGTCGTACGCCGCGATGCTGCGTCCAGTATCCTTGACGCACGTGATGGCCGGCGAGGCAACCAGGGCGACTCGCCAGTGCTCGCTCTGGAGCTCGTTGGGGTTGCGATGGGGGTGGATCGCATTCATAGAAGTTGTAGTGAACCTCTCGCCAGTGTTGGGAAACCTATAGTTAAATCGCACGCGGGCAAGAGCCATCTCCCTGCCGACCTCCCATCCCTGCTCGATCACAAGCTTGAGCTCCGCGAACGCCTTATCGGAGGTCACGAACCGATTCAAGACGGGTTCGAGCATGCGGCTGAGCTCATCGCAAATTCGACGCACTCGCGAGTCCCGATAGCCGCCGTATGTGGGATGCGCGACGATTCGGGAGACGATGTCTCCCTGGCGATTGAAGAGGTGTTGGTTCTGGTAGGCGGGCTGATGGCCTCCGCCGCGGTTCAACTCTCGCAACAGCTCGTCGATCTGAGCGTTCGACTCGCTGTCGAAACGCTTCCACGCGTCCCACTTCCACACCCTCGACATGAAGAAGTCGATAATCAATCGGGTGATCACAAATGGGCGGTAAACAACGTCCTTGATGTGGACATCCACATATGCCGACGCCTGTCGGTGTGTGAGAGTGGGATAGGTCGCGAGAAGGCTCTCCCACGTGTCGGTGCCCTTAAGGAGAAGGAATTGCCGCGCATCGACATTTCCTGCATACTCGTTCACCCAGCCACGGGCGAGTTGCAAAAACTCCTTGTACGCATTCTTGACACCAGTAAAGGCACGGCCGTCGAGAGTCTCACGGTGAGGATGCCTGTTGTGGCGGGGTCGATGTGGAGGCGGTCCGTTGAAGATGTTCTGGTCGCCACGGCCCACGGGGGTAATAGGAGGTTGCGAATTGGCGTTCACATCCGCTGGTGGATGGGGCCTACGAGTAGGACTGGCGTTGATGCGGGCAGGACCGCGGCGATGGAGGGGACGAAATCCGCCGGCGTTGGAGGAGGGCGGGGGGTTAGACCGGCTGGGCCACTGAGTCGCGAAGTCTCCTGCTCCGGGCAAGGCACCGGGGCGAAACTCAGCCGCCTCGGGGCGGAATGAGCGCGAGCCCTGAGGAAAACCGGCTTGGATGGCGGACTTGGGGGTTTGAGGCACCATTCGGTTCCTGCCGCGATGGGGAGGTTCGAGAGGAGTGGATCTGTCATCATCAAATTGAGTGATGGGAGGTCGCTCGAATGGACGATGATTGATAAGACGGGATCGGTTGCCACTGCCACGGCCGAGTCGCAGCATTGGATGGGCCGTCCTCAAAACAAGAGCTTGACTGCTGATTGGTGATCCCGATGAGATTGCCAAAGGATCTGGCCGCCTACGACCACCAAACCGGCCGTGCGGCCGGTCGTCGTCCTCATCCTCGACGGGGGAGAAGAGGCCGCCGCTGCTAGGAGCCGGATTCTTGAAAGATACGTGCTGGGGCTTACCCTGCTTACCGGAATCACGATGACGCTGCTCCTCAAGGTCCTTGGCCCACATGGTAGGGGGAGGTCGGGGCACGCCACTCACGTACGGAATACCCTTCAACTTTCCGAGACGCTCACGAAGATCATCACTCGAGAAACGGTTAACGGGGCTCTTCGAACCGGAGTTCGGGGGCACATTGGAACCGGGATTGGTCTTCTCCTTGGTGTTCCAAGCCTCCTGAGCCTTATCGAGCAAAGAGCACTTGCTCGAGCGGGGAGAATCATCGGCGCCGGAGCCCGCGCTGACCGGATCGAGAAGGGAGAAAAGTGATTCCTTGTTCTGGATTTGAGCGAGGACTTTCTGTAGCGGAGACATCATTATTATTAGCGAATGAAATATACTTAACCCCCAAAAACTTGTTCCCCCCTCGTGATGTGCTTTACGTACCTTGACAAGGTTGATACGGTCGATATCAGACCTCTCGTCCTCGAGAACATTCACATTCTTGAATTCACCCATGAACTTGTGCGTCTCGTGGCGGAAGTTGTCAACTCGGTCCTTGTAGGCTCGGAGATGGCATCGAAGGTCAAAGTTGTATCGGTTGGTAGATCTGACCTCCTCCCGCTGAGACTCGAGGTCCTTCGTCCAGCCGGCGACCGTCTGCTTGAGTTCGTCGTTCTCAAGAGACAACTCAGCCCAATCGTCGACGATAGACTTGACGGCCAAATTGAACTTCCGGCCGGCCTGCATGAGGAGGTCATTGACCTCCTCGACCTGGCGAGCTGGGATGCCCGCGGAACGTCGGATCTCCTGTTGAGCATGAACAATCATTCCCTGAGCCTCGCGGCACTCGAGGAAGATTTTCTGTATTCGAGTCAGCTGGGCGGGTAACCAGAACCTGGCAGAAACAGGGACTGAACGCGAGAGATGGCAAGGGGATATTAAGGTGAGCTCCAGAGCCACGAAAGCTCGTGTGAACAAGGAAGTTGGAGCAGTAGAGCACCCCACGAGAGGACAGCAATATAGGCCATGACAGGGGAAACTGGGAAGAAGATGCTGGAGAGGAGAATGCAGAGGAACACTGCTGCCAATGCACGAACTCCGTAAGGAAACACAGAAGCAGGAAAAGAAATGATAGGACAGAAACAAGGAAGCATATAGCCCTCACTGCTATCATGCTGCCCATGAGAAAGAACAAAGAAAAGAGTCAACTCACGTGCTGCTGTGATATTTCCTGTAGCTTTTGCCTTCGTGCCTCTCCCTCAAGGGGGGCATTGAAATTGATGTGCAACATGCCAACGTCACAGCTACCAGAAGGATAGCAGGAGGTGGACTATTGCTGAAGATGGACTTGATTGGTAAATTGATAGAACCTGAGAATGAAGATGGTAAGCTTGATGAAGAGGTTGCCAAACCTAATGAAGGTGATGGAGGCAATTGCCTGTGCTTCTCAGGAGCTGAGATGAGCAGAGGGAAAGAGATGTGGTGATGGGAAATGACGTGACGGTAATGGAAATGGAGGAATAGAACAAAGGCTAGATGAACAGGCCCAGATACCCGTGAAGAGACACTGGAGAGGAAAGGCCAGAGGGAAGGGCAGAAACATTACCTGACAGTTCGACAGTGCTCTGGGAAGTGGGAATAATGTTGTGGGAAAAGTGTGAGAAAAGAACGCGTCCGCAGGTAAACGCAACGTGCTTGTAGCAGAAGGACGATGTGTCTGTGGTATGCTCATGGAAGAAAAATGAGAAAATCTACCAAGGGCAAAGAATGTTGAAGGAAGAAGAAGAACGAGAAGAGAGCTCTAGCTTCTATAGTTGAGAAATCGAAGACTGGAGAGCCTGAGCGATCTGGGATCTGCTCTATCTTGAGGGAAGTGACGAAGGGGCAGGTTGAAGAGAAATCTTAAATAGAAATCCTGAATAGGGCCAGTGTTCTGATTCACTAGAGCTTCAATCAATGAATGGCTGGCGGATGAATGGGCCAGCTGCTCCTTCTCTAAGAATCCGGGCCGTGAGCTGGAGCTTCAATTTCGGGAGCACTCGAAGCCTGGGATCGTGTCGAAGGTCGTCGTAGCAGCCTCCTTCCCCCTATCCCTCTCGACTGGAACAACCGCTGGAACAACCATGATGATGGTTTCTTGGACACACGAGACTCGGCCGTACCTTCCCTGGTAAAAGCCTGTAGGAACGCATGTGAGGAGGCAAAACCAGAATACCAAACACTATTGAGAAGAGCCCTGATCTGGAGAGCTATGAAGGGGAGATCGGCATCACTTGACAGGAGTAGGATGTGTATCACAACAACGGGAAGATAATAGGCGAGAGAAAGGCAGTGTATTGAGATATAGCTGAGTTCTAGAAACCAACCACGTCTCGGTCCACTTACGAGATGTAATCGAGTATTGTTTCGCCTTCGATGTTAATTCGTGGAGTTTTATTCGAGCCGGCGAGAGCATCACTTCGGCGACATGCACACACTTAACGAGTCACGGGAATTGCGGACGAGGAACCGAACGAAAAAGAAATTGCTACGAGGACTGTATTTGAGACTTGAGTAAAGTAAAACAGAAGAAGAATCTAAACTGAAACGTCAGGCTGCGTAAAGGATATACATAGCATCCACTGCTAACGAACCTCCCGCGGGAGGTGGTGCGCGGGGCCCCAGGCAAAAAAAGTCCTAAGGTAAAAGATCAGCTAGCAACAAGCGTTGCTTGTGAAGTCAGAACTGAGCAGCATGTCGTGAAAAAAAGGGGATACCAAAGTCGTCGGCTACCACGCGACGGCAGGAAATGCCGAGATGACGAAACGCCGGGGAATCCGAAGCGAAGGTCCATATTGGGAATCGTCGCGAAGGTGGAATGGGGGGGAAAATGGCGAGCGAGGCGGTGGAGGTATGAGTGTGGTGCGAACTCGGACCTGACTGAGCTATGCGAGGTTTGGCCAAGGGGATGGGGAAGTTCTGCAACATGGTTAAGTCTTAGGGAAACCTGGCCTGGGGACATTTCCATCGAAGGGCGTCTGGACATCGAAGTTAATGTATGGGTTGAATGCCTACGTTGAGTGTTAGTTCAGGTTCGTTCCTGGCGAAGAGATGCCGGTTCGGGGCATATAACTAACCATCATAGGTTCCTAGAAAAGAGGGTGGAAAGGCGAAGAAGATTAGCGTCAGATGGCTCGGGTGCGTGAGAACAAACTGCTGTAGACGGCGTCTACAACAGGCGACGCGTCGATCATCCTGCCACCGAAATATCTGCCGTTGAGGCCCTTGATAGCGTTTTCGCCGCCCTGGACCTTGTCGAACTTGAGATAAATATCTCCCTTGGAGTTGGGGTCGACGGAAATGTGTACAACATGACCGTATTTCTTCTCGGCTTCCTGTCGAACGTCGTCCTCTAGTTCTTTAACCCAGGAGTCACCCTCCTCCCTATAAAGTTTTTTCGTGTTAGCATTATATATGTGAAGAAGTAGGGGCGGTAGGGGTATTGTTTGTGGAAAGAATCGTTTACTTACTCGTCGGGATCAAACATATTGTGCAACACTACACAGCGACTAGCCATGTTAACGTTGACAGGGAGGGGCTTAACCTCCGTCTTAGGTTTCAGGATCTGACGCTCCTCCGCAACGGTGGAAGCTTCATCTGTTCTAGCAAGTTTCCTCATCAATGCATCGCGGCTGTAGTTGTTAAAGTTGACACCAGCTACATCGGTATCATCAAGAGCACTTGCACCACCTGCCTTGTCGTTGTCTCTACCACCGGCTCGGTCGAAGGTGGAGTTTTGCTGGTTGCGACCGCCAGCACCGGAGAATGAGGAACCTTGATAAGACGAGTTCTGGCCAGAAAACCTCTGCAGTAGATTGGCAGTACTCTCGGGGGTAAACTTATCGTTTCCTAGACCAACACGGATTGCTCGACCGGCTAGGTCAAATCCATTCATCTTCTCCAAGGCCTCTCTGGCCTGGGTAGCATCACGGAACCTGTTAACCACATGTTAGTAAAAGAGAACTCAGTTCATGGGTGGGTACGAGTGTAGTACTTACTGGACAAAACCATAGCCTCTGCTACGACCGTGCTCATCCTTCTGGAGTTGCACAAATTCAAGTTCACCGAAGGGCTCAAAGACAGCTTGTAAGTCCTGTTCGGTGACATTGAAGTGGATGTTTCCAACGTAGAGGCGGTGGAAGGGAATGGAGTTGGGGTGCCCATTAGTGCCTTCCGTGCTGCGCACCTGGCGGTTCTTCTCCGCTTCGGTGAGTTGAACGATGATGGGAATACCTAGTAGTTTCTGACCGGTGAGCTGTAGGGCTTGGGTAACCGACGCTTCATCCTTGAATTCGACATAGCCCACACTAGATCACATTGTTAGTAAAGAGTAGTAAAAATGATGGCGAGGAAAAGGGGGGATAAAACACGGGAGAGATATCCCGGAATCGAGCAAACTTACCCCTTGGATCGCTGACTGATACGGTCCTTGACAATCTGGGCCTCGGTGACGGCGCCAACCTTTTCGAAAAACTCCTTCAATTCGCGGGTACGCAGGCGGGCTGCAAGCTGCTGGACAAAGACAGTGCGGCGATCTCGCTCATCTTCATTAAGTTGAGGTGTGGCCTCACGCTTTCGAACATCACGACGATCATCATCCCGGCCGCCGCGGTGGCGGTGGTCGCCCGAGTAGCGGTCCGAACGGTCTCGATCTCGGCGGTCCCTGTACTCCCCCCTACGATGATGCCGGCCGCCCGGCGAGCGGGACCGGGAACGCGACCTACCGCCTCGACGATAATAGTCTCCGTCTCCTCCCCGGTGGCGACGCGAGCGTCGGTGGTCGTCGTCGCGGCTTCGGCTCCTACGCCTGCTGCTCTTGTGGCTGCCGGTTTCGCTGCGGGGGGTCCCTTCCTTGTAGGTGCTTCCCGTGGGCGAGTCTCGACGGCTGCGCGTCGAACTACGCTCTCGGCGCTCGCGTCGCTTCCGATCGTAGTATTCCCTATCCCTTTCATGGGATTCGTCGCGATCGCGGCCTCGGCGGTCAGACCTGTCGGATCTTGATGACTTGGGGCGGTCCTCTTCCTCGGAGGGCTTCGGCTTCTTGTCCTCCGCGTTTTTGGCAGTGGCGTCAAGCAGAGCCTCAACGTCCAAGGCAGCCATGGTGATTGGGCCTATTGCGTGTCAGGAGTTGAAATAAATTCTTGAGGGGAGAGAACTTCTGCGGCTTTATAGGATGAAGTTGATGAGTAGGACGGTTGTTTCAGGGGAGTTGGCAACTGGACGTGCAATTCATAGATAAGCCGCCCGAACATCAATCAGCCTGGTCGAATGGAGAATTTTAAGTCGAGTCAAAGTCAAGGTTGGATATCTTTAGAGGGGCAACTTAATAATAGAATCTTATGTCAGATGGGAAATGTCACATGACCGACACTTACTATTGATACGTACCTGCGACACTTCAATATTGACCCACATGCATTGATGAATCAAAATGCCACTAAATTTCCACTGGCGCCAGGCATATGATAGTGGAAGCTTAAGCAAGCGTCTGAGACATTTGATGGGTTGATAGCACGATAAACTGTTCCTTCCATCAATGTGTGGGACGTGAAAAGCACATCAAGCAACCCGTTTGAAATCAACTTGACTTGAGCAATGATCCTTTGCAGAGGCCATTCGCTCCAGCATATGGGTTTGGGTATAAAATGGACAATCCCTTCATAAAACATCAGTCGATGGCGTAAATTGGTATCATATTAATTCTCGTTCCAAGAAGATTAGCGCTGCCCACGGACACAAGTTCTTTTCTAAGCCATCTCACTTCCTCCAACGATGGCGAACCTCGAAACGTGCCTCATTATCGTCCATTATATTAGAGATCAAGCTGAAAAGAGAAACATACCCCGGATTCCCGGCCCATGAACATGTGATTCAAACAGATTCAACCCGCCTCAATACGCCAGCTTCAAGACCAGATGGTTACCCCACACGGACGGCTATTATTCAATAAAATATCCGACAGTTGGTGGGAAAGTATTTTTGGGCCGCTTAGATAGAGGAGTGGAGAGATGGGTCTCAAATCCCAGATCGTAAATCCCGGGCAAGGGTATATATATATTAAAAAAAAAAAAAATCACATCGAGGAATTGGGTCTCACGCAGACTTGCGGTCGGACTTGAGTTCGGTGCCGAAGACGTTGTCCCAGAACTTAGTGGTAACGCCGAAGCCCAGTTCGTAGTCGAGGAAATGGTGCTCAAGATGGTACTTCTTCAGCTCCTTGTACCACAGTGGCAGGTTCTGGTGGTGGAGGAAGTAGTGCGTCATGTCGTAGAGGATGTAGCCGAAGATACCTCCGCAGTAGACAGCAGTCGCGGCGTGCCACGAGTAGGAGAAGAGGGCGTGAGCGAGGAACCAGAAGGGAGTGGCGAGGACAACGAAGAGCGCGGGAGGCATGACGAGACGGTACTTGTCCATGGGAAGGTAGTGGTGAATGCCGTGGAGGAGGAAGTGGAGGGTGATGAAAACCCTGTTATCGGGGAGGTATCTGGAACCGAAAGTTAGTACGGCGTTGGAGCTTCTCGGTTCGGACAGAGCCCAGCAGGACATACTCATCAAGGTGGAAGAGGAAGCGGTGCAGGCAGTACTCGATAAAGGACCAGAGAGAGAATCCAAATAGCCAGTAGGCCGCAAAGTGCAGAGGATTAGAGAAGCCCTGGATGGCCAAGGAACTTCCGTAGACTACCATGGGCACCCATAGAGTAGGCACAACCCACCAGGGAGTCTTGCTGAAGGGCTCCAAGATGTTTCCAAAGAGAGGGGCAGATTGGCCGCCCTTATAATGACGTGGGCGGTGGACTTGGTCGAGGTAAAACCTCTTGCTGAAGCCGCCGAACCAGATTTGGGCGAAGAGCGGCCGGCCGAGGTCGAGGAACTTGTGCGTCTTGTAATCGTTCGAGTAATCCGTCTCCTTTTCTAGGTCTTCCTCGCACGACATGCCAGTACGTGGGTGAACGGGCCTGCCCTGCTCGTCTAGTTCGACCTTCTCGGCGGGCTTGCCATTGGAGGCTTTGGCCGAGCCGTTGGCATTCCCGTTGGTGGCCTTTGCGGTGGCCACAAAGCCGACGAGGCAGTCGTCTAGGATATCGTAGGCCGTCTCGGTGTGGGTATGGGAGACTTCGTCTTTCAGGATGTCCTCGATGTCCTTCCCGCCGTATTCGAAGATCAGATCGGCACCGCCAGGATGGTCCCCCGCGAAGTCGGTAACATCGTAGACCTTTCTTCCGATCGTGACATAGCAAGACTTGGCCGTGCTATGCGCTTCGATCTCGGCGCGGGTGAAGGTAGGGAGAGTCTTCGAAGACATGACGAGTGACAGCGACGACAACTAGGTTAGGAGACGAGAGTAAAACTATCCAGACCGGGTAACGACAAGACAAAGCGTCGGCCGATGGGCGGTTTAGCGGCAGGCTTGAAGCCTCAAAATATAGCCAAAAAAACAAATTCCTGGGGTGACCAGGTCGGAAGCCTCGGGCAAGCAGGGGTCAAAAGTCGAGAAGAACTGGCGAATGAACAGAGCACAATTCAAACTCCAACAACCAGAAACAACATGACCGAGGCAGGGACACAGCGGGGAAGAGAAGGAGATTGGATGCCGGACGTTCAAAAGTAAGGAGAGAAGAGCATTCCAAGTAAACTAAACTATTCGGATCCCGACAGGAGATCAAAAAAAATCAGCCAACACGGGGAGAACGGAACGCGCGGTGAATCAAATCTTCTGCAATAAGACATGCCCGTGCTACTGGCGCTACGACACTAGTGCTACTGGGGTTAAATTGACCGATCAAATCAATCAGGACTGGGACCAGGGGTGGAAGACCCATTGAATCTGATGGGGGGAAGTTGGCCAAAGACCAAGACTGGGACTGTGTCCCAAAGTCCCTCCCAAAGTCCCACAACAACGGCGCGAATAAGGAGACATGGGTGGTGCTACATCTGCCATCTGCACGTGAATTATGGCGTGTCCTGGCGCATGTCGGAACGACTTCAGCCGAAAGCTCCAGTGGAGGAAGAGAGCCAGCCAAAGCTTTGAGACTAGAGGGGATCAAGTGCGATTGATCGATCAATTGATCAATTGATTGATCCGATCCGCTGAGCTGGCAATCGTTGCTCGATCAAGATTTGATCAGTTTGTTGATAAACTCAATACTCCGTACTTCATACCAAGAACATCGAACCGGTTACCCAATCACTCGAAACCATGGTTAGCCATGAAGACACCCAGACCATGTTACCAGGAGCCAGATTGATACAAAGAACAATCAATTAACCCCAGTACTTCGTACTTTCGGTAATGACATTCGGACTGGTCAAGATCTGACCGTGTGGAAATTTCCTCGTACATTACTTCGGACATGTGGTACACATAATCTACTGGTTGCGCATACAAAGAGTATGTACTTTGTACGAAGCACGGAGACGGGGATGGATCCCGACATTTGAAGTTTAGATGTGGATCTCCGAGGAAACTTCCTGGCTTGGCGGACTGGAATTAGGCAACAGAATAAAACAAACTCGACGACCGCCAGCTCTGTTCGAGTCTCGCCGGTCCCCCTTCACAATCCGCCCGAGTCTTGTTGTGGCGGGCGGCTCTCCAATTCATTCGAATATGACCTGCCGGCAGCTGGAAGACGACTCTACCTCGTACTTGGAATCTTGGTGCATCCTCGCCTCTCGCAATCACGATCTTGCCCGTGGAGTTAGACAGGCCATAACGCACTTCAGTCCATGCTTGGCACACGCCGGTGATTACCGAGTACCACTACAAGCTCCAGTTGGTGCTAACTAACTTGGTCGTCATCGTCGTCATCAACCCCGAGAATCCGGTCGAAGATGCTGCCGGATATCTTCATTCTCATCAGGATGGGATTGCCACTTCGTGCAGTGTAGATATTCGAGGTGAGAATACTGGTCTAACACTACTTCGTAGGCGACGAATAATAGCATCCTGCTGCTATTATTCATTTCGTCACTTCCCAGCCAAAACCCCATTCCTTTTGTTGGTAGGGCTGTATTGAACAGCAGGGGTCCTGCGGCTGAGCCTATTTGTAGATCGATGTTCCATCCGGCAAACCATCCCTCCCCGAGCTTGTGGCGCCTGATGTCACGATCCTTCCAGCTTTTTGTCCAAATGCCCTGCTGGGTCAAGACAGTTGCTCAGGCCACACAGGGGATAAAATCGAGATATGGAACATCGAGGAGCCCAAAGTCAACAAAGGGTGCAAATGGTGGTGCGCCCCCAGAGCTTAATGCTTAATTCAACCTCCGGTCCCCTTGCACGGGATTGCGTGGTCACCAATCCGGCACTCGGCATGGCTTGAAGCTTGAGCTTAGCTTGGCGGAAGGAGGGGGAGGGGCAAGGCTCATGCCAATTTGAATGGAGTCATGAGCAGGTCAAAATCTCAGCGGCAGCCAACCCCGCGTCGTCATTACGTCTCTAGCGCACTGTTTGTCTTTGCCTGCCTCCCTCCCTCCTTTGTTCCTTCCCTCTCTCTCTGTGCGTGTCTGCTTGGAGTACAAGTAGGGCAGGTGCTCTTCAGTCCAGCCCATCCAACCATTGATTTCTGACGTCTCAACAAGACTGATCAAGCTTATTCCGTCTCACGTCATCAACTTAGCCTTTTGCGACAAACAGAGCGCAGGCAACTAGACGCCCGAAGAAATCCAGTTGTCGCGAACCTCATTTATGCCTTCACACAATACCCTTGTTGTTAATGCTCCTGAATCACTCCGATAGTTCCAATAATAAACTATTTTGAACCGCTGGCGGCGGCCTCCGAGTCCTCTTGCTGTCGCCTACGCCTTCTCTTCCCCACTCGACTTCCGAACTCAATCCCTCCCGGCCTCGACAATCTCGTGCCTTACTTCCCAATCCCCTCGTGCCAGCTCTGCTTCGAAAGAACCTGCCCTTTCAAAAACTCCATCGCTGTCACGCTTCCGCAACGACGCGCAACATAAGATGGGCGTTTTCACCCTCGGCCACGGGGGCGCTTGGCTCCTCGTGCTGTGTATCATTCTGATTGTGTTACCTTCGCCCGCGGCCGCCTTCGGTGCTGGGAATATTCCATCGATTGCTCAGGTACGTTGACTCGGTTTGGGATATCTCGATACCGGTGTAGGAGCTAATCATTCCGCATGTAGGTTGAGGGACACAATTGGCGCCATGGAGGTTAGTCTTGCCGTCGTTACATATCTTTTGCGCGTGGACCTGTTGGGCACTGACACTTAGCATCCTAGACATCGAGGATATGCTTGCGACAATAGCATTCATAAAAGGAAAGAAGTGGACTTCAATGCTGATCAAGCGAACGTATTTCGGAAACTGGCTGCGAGACTACTCTCAGGCTATCGATGTTGGAAGTTTGAAGGGTCCGGTCAACGCTGAGACCATTCGCGTCCTCGTATGTATTTCTCAACTTCCAGCTCTCAGCCCAGAGAACAGGTAACAGCAATCTAACATGAAAACGACTAGGTCTGGGTGCTGGGGTTCATGAGTTTTGGATACGCAACCGAGGAATTCGAAGTCACGGCCGATCGACTCGGTGTCTACCGAGCGGAAGAACATATCGACAACCCATTAGGTTACTCCGAAGGCTTCGATGCGACGAAGTTCGATAAGCGACTCCGAGGTCCTGTGCGGCCCATCGAGACTGAGATAGACATGCGCACTGGAATGAAAAACTATATCGCCAACGAAGACGGGGATTGGGCTACAAGCGCCGGGTATCTTCGCTTCAGCATTTCGAGATCCGTCCACTACGGGCGTCTCTATACCTGCGGGGGCTCTAAGTCTGGTAAGGAGGAGGACCTCTGCGAAGCACTGCGATGCCTCGGACAGGCCCTCCACTGTCTCGAAGACTGGGGTGCCCACACCAACTATTCCGAGCTTGTTCTGATCGATATGGGCCACCACGAGGTCTTCCCTCATTGCGGACGTGATACTCAAATCTCAATCAGAGGAAAGAGAATGTATCCTCTCGTTACAGGGACTTTTGGAGGTGTTGACTTCCTCCACTCTGTCATTGGGTCAGCCCCTCAGAACCCTCCCTCCCCCTTCCTCTCGTAGTCTTTACGATAGTTCGTCCTCACTAACATGGAAAATACAGCGCTGCATCTGATTCTTTCACCGAATCCGAGGTTGACGAAGTGGACATCGCTTTAAAAAACGCTGAGGCGGGAGGAGGAGTGCCGTCATCGTCGCGAGCCTTTGGCGGCTCGTCTGGAGGAGAGGACTTTATCTCGCTCATCTCAAACCTGCCGAGTGTTGGCGGAGGATTCGCGGCCCAGGCTAGGGACCTGAAGGCCTCGTCCGATGCGCAAGAGCGCGAGAACGCCCTTTACGCTTCCTCTCAGCGCAGCCGTGAGAATGTGAATATCGTCCCCGGCCTAAGCCCCAATATTGATCCCGTCAAGATCTCTCAAAAGATTTACCCAATCCTCGAGTTCCGCGACAAGATTGTCAAGGCAATTAACACCACAATCTCCAAGATCCCTGGTTTGGAGAAGCTCTTGGATCACATCTCGGAGACGCTTACAGCATTTATCCTGGGTCTCCTGGCCCCCTTCATTCGCCCCATCATCCAGCAAGGGTCCAAGATCCTCAAGGAGGGTTCCGAGAATGTCATCGGCGCCAGCGCCAAAGCCCAGCTGGAGCCATGGAATAACCCCCGCTGCAGCGACCCGACCCACTCGATGCTCTCGAAGGATCATTTCACTAACATCCTAAACTCTTGCGGTGGAATGGTCGCTGTAACTATTCTTCAATACGCTGTACCGTAAGTTAATACCTTCGCAGCGGCTGATGTTTCGAATCTTGAGGAAACCGTTCCCACTAACTACTACCGTGGGAAAACTATAGTCGTATTCTCTTTGCTTGGGAGAATCCCAACGTCCCCGTGAATGAAGTCATCAATGACATCCTCCAAGCCTTCCACCACCCGGCCCTCCGTGACGAGCGCATCGAGATCCAACGCAACATGTACAACACGGTGCGTAAATGGTACAACGAGCACCCTAAGCGCCACGAGCTTCCCCACCTCCTCAGCTCCGAATCTGTAAAGAACGGCAAGAACCACGTCCTCCACGGAGACAAAACCAAGTCCCGAAGCCGGGGCGGCGGCGCCCATTCGTGCTACGGTGACTGCGGCCACGGTAAAGTCGCCGGCGGTTTATGGGGCCAGGTCCGCACGAGAGATTTCCGCGAGGATGCCGAGCCCGAAGGCGGCGCGATGTTGTCACCGGGCTTCCCTCCTTCGCGGCAGAGTTATGGGTATGCCGGCGAAGGCCATTCGTCGCAGTACGCGGGCCAGAGCCAGAGCCCACGGCCGTCGCCTCGTCCTTCGTCGGGCTCGGGGTACCAGGCGCCTGCTCAGCAGACGTACTGGCAAGGCCGGCCTGGCTCAGGATATCAGCAGCAGCAGCATGGTAGGCCTGGGTCTGGATATAAGCAGAATGACAGGCCTGGGTCTGGATACCAACAATATGACAGACCGGGATCTGGGTACCAACAACACGACAGGCCCGGATCCGGATACCAGCAGCATGATCGGCCTGGGTCTGGGTATGGCAGGCCTGGTTCCGGCTACCAGCAACCTGCTCCTCCCCCCCAACACCATGGATACTACCAGGGACAGCCGCCGCAGGGTTACCCGCAGCAGCCGTATGGAGGAGGGGGAGGGTACCAGCAAGGGCCGCCACCTCCCGGTCCCAGCTACTATCAGGGTCCTCCACCACCTCAGGGGCAGTATCCCGGTCACGGACCACCCCCCCCTCACGGATATGGAGGTCCCGGATACGGCCAACAACAGCCGCCTTACCCTCCACAGCCTCATTACCAGGGAGGAGGTGGAGGGTACCCCGGTGCGGGCTATCGGTAGAAAAATCCGCTTTGTCCTTGAGTCTCAAAATCCGCGACTGATATCCGAGAAATGAGTTGGGGGGGGGGACATTGAGAAAGGGGTGAATGGCCCCGGGGGACTTGATTATAGAAGATGGATCTCGCGACCATGGCGGCGGGCGGGGGATACAAAAAAAAAGTTGGTTTGTGGAGATGGGATAGGGTAGGACTGAGAGTTTGACTTTCTCGTTCATCGCGGTAGTTTTAAATACTAGGTAGTTTTATATACATCTTGAACACAACTTCCACGATGACCTCTCTCTGATCGGTATATTTCAGCGTGTGCCCAACGCGTCTAAAGACTCCCAATCGCTTTCACACCACTCGACTTGAAATCCGAGACTCGAGAACGAAAAAAAAAAAAGAAAAAAAAAAGAAAAGAAAAAAAGAAAAAAAAAAAGGACAAGGGGGAACGAAACGAATCCTCATACGCCTTGCCTCTATACCGTGACCGTCTAATACCACGCATGTATTTATGAAGAAACGAAAAAAAAAAAAGAAAGAAAGAAAGAAATATGTCAAGTACCAAAATTAAAGACCCTCCTTCATGATAGTGTTGCCTCTTTTCTCTCCTCTCATTTCCTTCCTGCTCGGAAAATGCTTATGGATGTAAATGCTGTGTGCTCTTCCTCTCCCAAACGCCATGATGCCAAAGATATGAGGCCATGAGAAGAAACATGAGAACATAAAAGCGAAAGCTGCCCTCCTTCGAAATCTCCCCGTGTAGTATTAAAGGAGTTTTTCATTACCATGCTTCCTCCCTTCCACGATGATCCCAAAAATGCAAAAAAACAAGGGAAGCAAGGGAGAAGTGGTTGTCCCAACGTCAACGAGCCACAAACCCCCTACCTCAACCTCCTTGGATCCAAAGCCTCAGCTCTCCTCATATCCCTAACCTCCTTCGTCCCCAAACTCCCCAAACCCCCCTCCGACCTCCTTTCCCAGCCGCCCAGCCTAACGACAAGACACGTAGCATTATCCCCGTCCTTCGAAATCTCCGTAGCGAAGTTAATGACGTCCCTGGCCCCTTGGTCAGGCGTCTTCGCCTCCTTGACAATGTCGACGATCTCCTGGTCGCTCAGGGTTCCCGAGACGCCGTCGGAGCAGAGCACGAGGAAGGAGTACTGCGCGGGCGTCATGTCGAGGCGGGTGATTTCCGGCTCGGCGGACACGCCGATGCGCTTGCTTTCGATGTCGCCGAAGGCTCGGCTGTTGGCGAGGCCACTGATGCGTTGCTCGCCGAAGGAGTCGCCTGTTACCATGGACGCGGCGGGGGCGTAGCGGCGGAGACGGCGGGCTTCGGCGGGGGCTGTGGGGTGGTGGTCGGACGTCACGGGGGCTGCGAGACCTGTGCTCGTGTCGCAGAGGATGGCGCGCGTGTCTCCTACGTGCGCGACCATGAGCGTCGCGTGTGCGCTCGGATGCCAAAATGGCGCGGGCGTCGGCGTCGAAAGGAGGGCAACGGAGGCCGTCGACCCGCCCTTGAAGCGCATGCGTCCGCCAATGTGCTGGCCCGAGGGCGTAGCGTGGGGGGCACCGAGGATCTCGTCGTTGTTATAGGGTGCGTCGGTGGCCGTTAGGTCAGCCGGGTCGGGTTTCCGGGCCTGCGCCGATATAAAGTCGAGGTCGGCGCGGAGGAAGGCGTATTCGAGGACGGACTCGACGGTGATGTCAGGCATTTCGGCGTCGTTGAGTTTGAAGTATTCGGGGTGGAAGCGGCGGAAGTAACCGCCGATCGTGTCGCGGTATTCTTTGACTAGGTCCATCAGGCGTTGGTGCGCTGAGGACCAGTCGCGGACTCTGCCGGGGACGGGGTCGGAGCCGTGGATGGCGTCGGCGTGGGCTGGTTCGGTGATGACGCCTTGGCGGTCCTTGGTGGGGACGTGGCCGGCCATCTCTTCCCTGATTTCGGCGGCGGTCTTCATCTTGACTTCTTCGTTCGTCGCCGTAGTGTCCTTCTTCTGTTTCTTCTCCTCATCGTTTGGTGGAACGCCTGGCCGGTGTTTCCTCCCTAGACTGCTACGCAGGCCGAGTTCCGCAGAAGCCTCCTCAATGTACCCATGCAGCTCATCCCTCAAAAACTCTGCACACTCACTACCCCCATGCCCATCAAAGACAGCAAAGTAGAAAATCTGAGGATCCCCAAATGAGCTATCCGCAGGCGTAACCTCCGCCTGCTTCTGCGGATTCCGCACCAAGCTGATAGGAGCGCGCTTAGCAAACGCCGGCATATCAATCGTGCCAGCTTGGTCTGAATCCTCATTATAAGGCCTCGTGCCCCTCGACGTCGCCCTGCCAAAGTGGTGCTTGGCGCTGCGCAGCGGGATGCGCACGACGGTCATGTCGCGGCTCGTCATGCCGCGTCCGGGGATCGAGGCGGGGGAGTGGCCCGAGTTCGGCGTGTGCGGTGTCGACGCGTCGCGGGGTAGCTTGTGGCCCGGGCCCGCGGCCAATCGCTGGTCCGGGTGCATCGACGAGGAGGGGAGATGGGTGATGAAGTAGTTGTGAAACTTGCGTCGGGGGCGAGTGACGGCGTCGGGTGGGTGAGAAGGGTGAAGGGCCGACTTGGGCATCATCTGGCTCGTTGTGCAGATGGGTTGGTGTGTTGAGGGATGACGTGTGGCGGCATCGCGGAGGATGGGGCGGGGACGGTTCGGGGGGAGGAGAGGGTAAGGGTCGGCTTCGATTTCGAAGGTTTGCTGTTGGTCGTGGGCATGTGTTGTTTCTAGGGCCTCTCGCTCGACGCGAGAAGAAGGACTGGGTGAATATGCGCGTCCAGGTTGTAGTTGTAGTTGTAGTGGTAGTGGTTGAGGTTGGAGATGGTGGTGAGGAATGGGAAGTGTTCGAGCACGTAACCGGGCATGACGCGATAGCGTCTGCCAAGGGAGGTTCGTCATGGATATATCGGAAATCGGGAGGAACACCAGCTCCGCTCTTCTTCGAATCGAGTCTTTTTGGGAGCGGCCGCAGTCTCTTGGGAGAGGTTGTGTGTGTTTTTGTTATCAGGACGCCGCCTGAGGAAAAGATAGGCGAGAAAAGAGGTTAATCGCGCTCTTTCTCGCCGTCGAGGCCTCCATCGGATGTCGACGGCTTATTCGCACACTTAGAGAGGCGGCGAGGTCGGAGAGCGAAAGGAGGAGAGCAACAGAAAGAAGAAGAAAAAAATCAAGAAGGAAAAACGGAGGGAAAAAAGAGTTGAGGATTTTGCCTAGAAATTCGTTCAATGGTTTGTACAAAACAGTCGCAACTATGCCTGTTTCGTTTCCCGGTCTTTTACTTGGCAAGGGATATTTGCTCGCTAATGGGAATGGCAACGGCAATGGCAATGGCGAAGAAACCAGCGCCAAAAGCATTGGCAAATTATGACGTTTCGGGAGCCAGGATGGTGGAATATTTCACCTTCAAATCGTGGAGAACATTTTTTTAACAGTTTTTTTTTTTTTTTCTTATGAACAAGGACAGGGGACGCGATATTGGCATTTGACATTTGATGGGGATTGAAGGATCTGAGGGTGCATTTACGATTTGATCAATCACAGTTGCCCAGTTCGGATCGCAGGCACGGCATGTGCGGAGCTGAGCTTTGCGCAGTCCAGGCTCTGAGGCGCTGCAGTGTGTAGTGTCTTCGTACAAGTACTTTGGGTTTGCTCTGGTCCAGGATGATGCCTATTAAGTCGTTTTAGTGGACAGTTACACTGCTTGAATCAAATACTTTACTTGGACAGGGGCTGGTTCAACAGGCCCGGGATTCAGCACCAAGGATCAAGGATCAGGGATCAAGGGTCACTCCGATCAAATGCTGGTCCGAAGAATGTGCGAAGTATTGCGGATTGTTGATAACGGTATGAAAACCAAGGAGGGAGACGAATCCAACGAGCAAACCCGATTCCTGTCTTTTTCCCCTTAAACATTTTAGGCTGCGGCATATTTCCAAACGGTATTGATCTAATCATCGAATCCTCCAAGCAGCTCCCCCGTGGCTCGTCCCGAAGCTGGAAATGGACGAGACGGTTCGGAGAAGTCTCGGCGACGGTGACGTACTTCGCGTTGGAGGGAGAGTGGGAGGGAGAAAACGGCATCTCCGGACTGTGCTGGTCCCTCCCAGCCTGCCAGCGACAAAGGACGGAGCAGGATCATCATGGAGGGTCGGAACGATTATTACTGTTCCGAAGGACAAGATCAATATCATTCGCGTGGGGGGGAGGCACCAAGCCAATGGCATCATGTAACCACACAGTTTCCGATTGCCTCATGCACTGATGGGGATCACTATTATTTCTAGTGAGCGTGTACAGTGCCATATACTTGTTAACACCTACAAAGTACCTGGACTCTCTGCTGCCTCCCAACGCTCAACAAAACCAAACATCAATCGCTGCGTTTGGGCATTGAGCCCATATTTGCTAATTAAGACCATGCAAACCATCCATCCCATCAACACTACTTCGTTGACCCCATGATGGGATACAACTGTAGCAGCATCCTGCCGGGGCTCACAAAAACACAGACTAAGACAGACTGACTGACTACCCCAAAACCAGAATCGTCCACTCCACCCATTCCGACCATCGCCGACTCCCCCGCCGAACCTGAGGTTCTCCGTGTCCTTCGCCTGCAGACGAAAATCTAAACTGTAGACTGCATGTGGTCTGGCCGTCCAAGTCTCGGTTTTCCAGGTCACCACCGATTACGGCGGCCAGACGGGTCATGCTCACAACAATTCACCCACTCACAAATCTCCGGTATAGTCTCCGCATCATCATCATCCGTCAGCCCAGTGGCTTGGGTCAACAACGAGTCTAGCCATTGGTCCATGCGGCTACCGCCCGACTCGTCGCTTGCCTCACCGCGCATGTTCTCGTGTGTTCTGCCATGTTCGTGTTCACACCTCTGTGCATCGTCTTGTTCTTGTTCTGGCGATGAGCTGCTCTGGTCCTCATCTTCCAGACCCACCGGTAACAAGTCCCTCACTACGTCAACAATCTCCTCTCGAGTGTATCGTAGTGCTCGCACCATGCGCGGATCTGGGTCTACCGCCTGTACTTCGTCGATCGTGCGAAAGATTGGGCCCATGGAATCTTCTCGCGCCGGCAGAAGGAGCCTGTGGAATAGAGCATCGCCACCCAGATGCAATGGCAGAGGGGCGTAGAGGAAGCCCGTGGGGAGTAGGCGGTGCACCTGCGGTGGTGGGAGCCAAAGGACTCGGACGCTAAGTCCGGAATGCAAAGTCCTTTCCACCAGATTACTTCCGAAAGTGAGGACACAGTCTGGTGGAATGTAGTATGACTCTCTCGGAGGTATTACGATCCCATTAACGGCGACCTGGCACGTCGCCGAATAGCTCGTGATGACTGGCATCTTAAAAAAGGGGGCAGTCATTTTGTCGGGTCAGTCGGAGATCCCTCTCTCGGCACCCAATATTGATTGGTAGGTCACGTACCATGCAACAAGTTGACCCGTTCTCACCAGCGTGCCGCGCCAACTCGAGATACACATCACGATACAGAAAGGGGCGGTCGAGGCCGTCGAAGATCAGATTGCTTGCGCTGGGCAGCGAGTGCCGGGAACATCCAGCGATCGGAAGCTTCTGTTCGCCGATGAGGGGGTTGCCAATGTGGTCTCGCAGCGGAAAACTGATGAGACGGAGCGGATATCTCTGCTTTGGGCCGTTGCGGCGCATGACAAAAAACCGAAAGTCGATGTCTAGACTTGGGTTTTAGTAACGGCCTTCTTGGCAGAGAACTCGGAATTGCTTGTTGTTTCTAACCCTTGCGGCGGCTGGATTCGGCCCTGAACGGTATTGTGTCCGTCATTTTCACGCCGGGCTTTTGGGGATCGAGATAGGAATATAGTAATAATCTGGAAGGTGCTTGAGGGCTTGTATCAAAGCTGGAGATGGATGCTATTTAGGTAGCGTCTAAGTTTAAATCCTCGTAGGCGGATGGAGTTTGTGATGGATCGGCCATCTTTACAACGACAAAGTCAAGGGGACTCCATCGCATCCGGGAACCAGCTTCCACTCCAAACTGAAGAGTCGCTCCGAAGCAGGAGCCAAGGTCTAGTGACGATTGTCCTGAGCAATTGCCATACTACCCCGATCCGTTGGCAGAATCCCTTGCAGTTACCAGAATCGTTGACATTTCACTAGCCACGTTCTGCTCCTTATTTCTCCCTTGGTTGTCTTAAGATTCCGGAAGATACATCCGGGCCATGGTATCCCGTTCGAGAATATCATGCCTCGTCTCTAATTCTCGTACCCAGATATAGGAGAAGCCTTAAAATTCAAAAGATACAAAAAACTGGAAAGATGAAAGGCCCCGAGCGAAGGGGAAGATAAAAAAGGAAAAAGCTCGCTCGCGGGTTGCTCCGAGGATCGAATCCTGGTTGCCTCCCACGAGCTACGAAAATTGCAATTTTCTAACCTTCTGAGCGCTCCAAACGACCACCTGGCCACTGGTTGTAGTGTCACCACTACTTGAGCTGCTCGGTTGGAAACTCCTTCCGTACCCTCATATATAAAGGATAAGTCTACGAGGGCGGTTAGAATCGAGAGGAAGGTACAGAGCAAGGGCGGGTGGAGTGGGGGATGCGCCTTCCTTCAGTTGGGTTCTGGGTGCTAACGATGCCTTCTGTCGTCCTCGGCTTCCAGCGATATCAGACACTTACAATAGCTCAAAATCGAAGCAGAATCATGATCGATGCCCTTGGAATTGTATTCAATATATACAGTGAAGTGTCCTCGAGCCCAATCCCTTCCCAAGAACAGCCCCCCATGATCTCATCAACGAGTTTTCCATAAAAGAGGGCCAATAAATCCCAAGAAAGGGAAGCCCCCCGAGATTCCCATCCTTCCCTCGCGGAGGCCCGGAGTAATTTCTTCGGTTCGGAGCCCGATAAATGTCTAATTCGGTTTAAAAAAAAAAAAAAAAGATAGAAGACAATATAAACAATGTACACGCAGCAGGGCTGGAAAATGAAGAACGAGAAAAGAGAAAGAGGAAAAAAAGGAAAAGGGGAAAATGGTGTAAAAAGAGGAGGAAAGAACAAGTAAAGAGAAAGATGTTGGTGGTATTATCGGAAATAAGAAGACGTGAACAGATTTGTGCTGCACGCTCAAAAAAATTCGGACTTGGGAGCTTATGAAGAGAGTGGAAACAGGAGAGAAAAGAAACATTAAAAAAGAGATAAAAAAAGTTACTCCCATGAACACAAGAAGAGTCTATGAGATAATGCGCCACCCCTAACAATGGCGCCTGTAAAATCGGTGCCACAAATTGTGATATCCCTTGGAAGATGAAGTGTCATCTCGAGCCATCTGTGGCCTCATAATGGTGCCAAACCACTTTGGTTTGGCGGCACTGGAACGACCTGTTCGGGAGCCCATCCAATGAATGATGCCTGTCCTCAATCATAGGGAGGACAGGTGTCTCCTCTCTGTGCCTCACATATTCCCTCCCTCAGAACTTTCACCATTTTGGGCAGCGACTGTGCCCAGATCCGGGCAAGTTGTCGTGTGCAAGTGCAAGTGCAAGTGCAAGTGCAAGGGTCCCAGTCCCCCACCACCTCAGCTGCCCACTAACTCTGCGTCCCTTTCGCCCCCGAGAGCGAACCACTTCTTTTTTTTCCGTGAGCTCGATCCGAAAGGTTACACGGTCGCAAAGTGGCACCATAGCCACAGACGCTTAGGCAGTCTTCTTCTTCCTGGGCAGACCCTGCAGTTTCCTCTGCTGGACGTCAACCTCAGCCAACCACTTACTCGCCTTGACGAGCTGAATGACGTTGATGATCTGCTTCGCGGCCATGATGGGGAAGCTGATACCGGCGATGATCCACGGGACGGTGGAATCCATCTTGTTGGCTCGCGCAAACTCGAGAGCCGCGGCGCTGTAAGGGTCGGGGAAGATCTGGTTAAGAAGAGACGAGTTGACCTGGGCGCCGGCATGGATGTCGGCTGCCACCTTATCATCGCCGACGGACTTGAGGAGGGAAGGCGAAAGGAGGGGCGATGAGAAAGAGAGGAGGTAAAGCGCAATGAAAAAGAGCTCGTTGAAGGTGCAGAAGACGAACAAGACAGTCTGGCGTAGGATAAATTAGCATAACGAATGGGGGGCTGGTTGGACAACGAAGAAAAAAAGGCAAGTAGAATTGCAATAAACTAATGTAACACTCACCCTGTTCGTGTAGTACAAGTTCAAGATCTTGCTCTGGGACTTGTCAATGTTCTTGTGGCTGTTGTTAGAGCCACCAACAACAAGACTGGCATACATATGCATGTAGTGGCTAGCGAGATCAAGAGAGATAAGGCCCTGGAAGAGAATAGCCCATCGAGGGAAAGCAGAGGAAAGGAAGACGAGGAGGCAGGCTGTGGTGCATCGGTCCGTGACCATGTCCAAGACGGCGCCGAATCGGGTCGACTGTTCGAACCATCGAGCGGCGTAGCCATCGAGGGCATCGAGGAGGCACGATATCGAGTAGAGGATGCAGCATGTGCGCGGATGGAGTGGCATGTAGTAGAGAGATGCGACGGCGAGGACGATTCGCGAGTAGCCTAAATTCAACGCGCCACGGCAACGTCAGCAAAAACATCAAATACAAATAAAAAGTTGCGCCCTCGCACGAAAAGTGGTCCGAAACCACATAAAACCATATTTCTGGCTCCCTGGCAATGCATACCGATGATATTGGGCCAGAAAAGGAAAATGTTCTCCTTCTCCGCGTCTTCCGAGCGTGCCGGTCCGCGGTGGGCAGATCCGTTGCCGTTCATGGCAGAGCCGTTGGGCGTCGCAGATACGGGATCGTTGATTTCGACGCCGGGCACAGCTGAACCTGTTTGAGCGGCCTTAGCGGCCTTGCTCCTTGTCTGGCGTACCGACATTGAGGGCGGGTTGATGAGTGTTGAACGTTGAGAGAGAAATGCTTGGTCGTCGCCAGGTATGGGCGAAAAGGGGCGTGTGCGAATGGTCTGTGAAGAACGAAAGATGCCAAACTCGATACTAGCAAATCAGCTTTCTTGCTTCGGATATCAACACTCCGGTGAGGTCTTCGAGTATTAAGGGCCAGTCGTAAAGGGTGTTGTCGTATCGTGGGCAGATATGATCGACGTCGAGGATGGGGTAGTGATATCGACGGAGCTCGCTGAGGAGACGCTGCCTGCCCAGCTAGTCGTTTCGCAGTGGGGAGAGAAAAAAGGGATTAGATAAAAAAGAAGACTTCTGCGGAGAAAGTGTGATTTAGTAGATAAGGACAAGTGGGTGTAAGGAGCGTCGAGAAGTGGACAAGAAAACGGAAACCACGGAAGACTAGTCAAGGAAAAGCGGGAAAGGAGAGTTCACATTGATTTGATGACTTGAGATGAGCAGAAGGTTGCAGAAGACAGGTCAGGAAGGTTTTTGGTAAGGAGGAGGCTGTCAAGATTGGTGATTGGTCTCTTGGGAAAGGAGGTACCTAGTACTTAGCGGAATAGAAGTAAGTGGACTGCGTGATAAGTATCTGTTACGTAGCACCAATTGATTTGGAGCTCCAGAACCAAGGACGGACCCAATTCTTGTCTAAGATGAGGAGCACCATAAGCTACCATGGGCGAGACGAGGATTCTGATATTTTTTTTCTCTTTTTCTTCTTCAAAGCGATGAATGGCAAAAATAATCGTGGATATTTCTTATTTCATGAAAATCCCAAAATCCATTTTCAACCCGAAAACTGTTGCTCGGCTATAGAACGACTGGCATCGTTATCTTGCTCGAAGGATGGGAAGTCACATGTAGGCACTCAATGGGCACAACGGTCGCGTCTTGATACGACTCTCTGAATAGAAGCAGCAGCGGCGTATATCAGCTTTGACAGCTCGTCAGTCTGATCGGGCATGCTGCTCGACGGGCGAAGTTGAAATCGGATGGTCTCTGGTCGTCTCGCCTATTATCGGATTGCCTAAATACGAAGTACGGATCATTTTCGATCCCGCTGAAGCACTTTCCTTGCTTAGCACAGTCTACAAAGTCGAGAAACCCTTATCCCTTGCGCAAGATAAGCATGCGATGCGATACCAAGTCGATAGAGAATCGCACAGAAGAGCGATGAACTTGACTGTTGTTGACTAAAGTATTTAGTGTACAACTACCAGGCTGCTTCTTAGATCTTAGCGGCGGTTACGATTACATTAGTGATCTTCAAATTTGCAGAGTCGCGTCGTCAAAGGTTCCATTAATGAGGGCTGGCGACAGGGCTCCATTGGAAATGGGGCGGACGCGTATATTAATTGAATCGGTGATGTAAGACCTTGGGACGCCCATGTCAAATATTAATAACAGCAACCCACGTCGAGACCCAACGGTCTGGGTGGACAGGGCTGCGACGGCGTCGCTTCGCCCTACGATCAATCCGTCGATGTACGAAGGAGTTGATAATGGTTTGGAGCCCACCCCTGCAAGTCCTGAAAAGGCTGTTGCCGTGAAAAAAGGAAGAAATTTGCAAGGTTCTACTTGATGCAGATGCATCCGCACCTGTCGGGGGGCCACTCATCCGCTCGAGGATGCAGTAACTTCAAAGAAAGGGCATTCGAACGCAGGACGCAATGCATTTTGCAGATTGACACGACATAATCCTCAACCCAATCATTACAGTCCAGTGTCATGTTCGAACTGGCCGTCGAACCGCAAATCATTACCCTTTGTAGAGCAAGCCATCACCGCAGGACCAAGACCATCAATCTCGATCCTAGTAAAACTCCTCCCAACTCTGGGGCAGACCTGCTTTCTTTACACGCTCTAGAAGGGAAGAACTTGCAGCGTAGACCAACTGGGGCTGGATTCCAACTTCAGATCATTTAATATCAGACGAAGTGAGAAAGGGGCGGTTTCTACACGACCGGGTCACTGTTGAGATCTTCGGTCGATTTGATCGCCCGTATTCATGTATGAGAAAAAAAAAAAAAAAAAAAAAAAAAAAAAAAAAGGAAAAAAAAGCAAGTCAAGCTATGAAGTATGGCGATGAAGGCCAGGTACAACAAACAGCTGATAAAGAGCAGGGGGGCGGATGTCGCCGCGTTGCGAACTTGCTCAAGTCTCCCAATTAAGCTCGTGGGCCAACCTAGTCATGTTGTCCCGCGCCCTCCGCCCACGCATGCAAGGCGTGCTGGACAGCGCCCTTGACTCAAGGCTCCGGACCGGGCAAGGGGTGGACGAGACTCGGTCAATTCGACAAAGCGCGGCAAGGTCCGGATGGATAGAATAACGTCCACTTAAAGTTCAGGGTGGCATCAGTGAAACTTGGGCGTGCACTAATATGGTCACCGATCGAGCATTTGCGGTCATGCTTCAACTAGTCTGACCAGAACCAAGACCCTACATCGCGGATACTCCTGCGCGGATTCATTAATGTGGAGTAAGAGTTCGCCATCTACTAGAGAGAAGTGAGTGGAGCCCTACTTCAAGTGTTCTCGACCAGCCGACATAGGGTTGATATTTAAACTCGGCCTAGGGGAGCAACAGCTACAACTCCAATGGCAATATACACCGAAAATACCGAATTCTACGCGTATTAGTGAGAGGGAGGGGGGAGGGGGCTAAGGAAAAGAGGCCTGAACCCTGGAATCATTCGATGATGCAGCGCGACAGAATGAATACCCCTGCAAGTATCACGACGGGGATTCCGGTAGATGAAAAGATGGGATGGATTTGACGAAGATGGAACTGGACTGTGCGCGGATATCTCGAATTTGGCATGTCGATCCCGGCCCCCTGCGCTGAAGTTCTGTTCTGAACAATGGAGGGAGGAAGGGTCAGTTGAGATATGCTGTTGTTGCTGCGAAACTCCTGGTAACTTCGTACTTGGTACACAGGTACTGTCCGGAGAATTGTGGCGTCGTCAATTGGCGTCGAGACATTCAATAAATGAGATGAGGTATCGCTGAGGGGTCCAGACGGAATGCAAGGCACAAGACCAAAGTGGTCCAGACATTGGTCCGTGAGAAGGGGTCCAACGCAATCCACCAAGTTGATTGGTCGAGGGAACTCAAGGCGTCCCCATCTTTTTCCCCATCTCTAACATCCAGCATCTGGTCTATTCGATAAGTGTCACATGAGAGTTTTAAACTAGGAGCGGCTGGACTGGGGATGGATAGCTGAGGCTTGGGATGGAGACAATGGAGGCAAACTAGTATTGAATACACTACTACTTTGCAGGTCAGCTCTGCTTGTTACGCAGTCGATCAATGGAAACTTACCAGTATGCTACCGCATATTGTAGAATCCTCCGTCGGCAAACCCAGTCCCGGATTGAATTGATGATCAATGTCTTATGAAGGAGCCACCTATCACTCTGCTCTGCTATGCACATGGGCGAGGAAATGTCCAATCCCTTGGGAGCGAACTTCAACTCTTCCAACCCCCCTCCCGAGCCAAACCCCATCAATCATCAATCAGCTCCTCCAATTTGGCTGCACCTACCTGTAACTACCCATCCGCCACTCTGTCTCATGGTCGCCGCTAATGTCGACCGGGGCTTAAGCTATACGCACTTGAGTATCTCGCCAGGCCAGTCAAGGAGAAGAACGGGCGGCCACACACCCTGTGCGACACTGTGTCTTAGACCCCGAGTGTCTCTCTCTTTTTCTCCATTGCTAGTCTTTCCTCCACACAGCTCGCTTCGAAGATCGCTGGGTTTGGTTAAGATCTATTATCCTATCCGTCACACTAAGCCCATTCTCTCCTGATCCCCACCATCCGTTCCAGCCGTAATAGCGTAGTACGAAGTAGTGCGTGTGGCGAGCAAGGCTTACCCACAATTGCGCCCAAGGGACCCCGGGCATGTCAATGATTGATGCTCCGCGCCTGCACATCCCATGCAGAGGCTGGAACTGGGTCTGGGTCTGGGTCGGTCTGGGACTCGGCCTTGCCTAGACCGCGGCGAAAGTTGATGTACTCGCAAAGGGGTGAATTGTGCTACGATGGATGAGGTACCAATACTCATGCCCCGCACCCTTTGAAATAACCTGGTTGGGAGACGAGACAACATCCACTGATGATTGAGCCATCGAATGGTGACCTTTTCAAGCAATTCCTTTGAACGCCCCAATGTACTCCATGTCCATGTGAAGGACGAGTACCGGTAGTACTTCATAGTGGAGTGTGAACTGGACCAAAACCCCGCCCCCTCCAACGAGGGGCGGAGAATTCAATGATTTTCACGCTTCGTGGGCAAGCGTCTTGAGGTACAACGGTACCCTCCCCTCCATTCCTCCCACAGAGATCAATCAAGCCTCCTCCCCTCGAACCTGCACTGGCTTTTGCCGCCCACTAAATCTGACCCAAGGACATTGACCCTCGCGAAACGTCTGGCATCATCCGAAAGGGTCAATTAACCAACCTGCATCAACCCAGCCCAACAAGCAACAAGAGGCAAGGGTCCGCATACATCAATATACGACTAGTCAAACTGGGGTCTGACCTCGTCACTACCTGCCCCCCTCAAAGGAAACTCTTTTTTTCACCTATTTATGGCCTTACTGCCAACCTCGATCCACTGGTCTACGATTATCTCGACTACTACATAGCTTCCCAGGTACCCACAACCTCGTCAATCTTTTTTTTTTTTCTTCTCTCTCTCTCTCTCTCTCCCAACTTCTTCCTTCAATACTACCTCCCCTGCGGACCGTCGAACTCGACCTGCATAACACACCCTGACCTCCCTCTCTCATTGCCCTTTGTCCGTGACTGGACCGGCCCTTTAGAACGACTCTGTTTCGATCCCCCCTTTTTAAGGTGTCCCAACGGCTTCGACCTACCCGATACCGCGCTGTTTCCAGTTGGCACGCTGCTGCTGCATTGCATATCGGCGTCTCCCGGATTCTTCCAGCCAACCAAGTTCAATACTCTCGCA